TTTCTCTTTACGTCGAGACAAAGTAGACTCTAAAGTTTGCCCCTGCAACTATAGAGCTACTCAAGATCCTACCCATATCCTCCTTAGCTGTACGCTATATAAGGAGGCTAGGATAAAGATGCAGGAGGCGAGCAAGGACCCCCTATCGCTAGCCTTCCTGCTAAACACGAGCGTAGGCATACAGGCTACTATTGCCTTTATTGAAGAAACTAGGGCTGCAACACAGGCCTGGCACAAAGGAAACCTCGAGAACTAGGGCAACACCTATACTAGGTGGCCTCGCCCTACACCCACCCTACCTCTCTCTTTTACCCGCAAGACCCCCTTCTACCTCCCTCTAGACTAGGCTACGAGCCTCACCTCGATTTAGATAGCCCCCTCCCCCACCTACACCAAAGTGATAGCACTACGTAGATACTTGCGGGCCTAGCCTGCACGTCTTATATAGCCCACCGGCTGAGACAGGACGTAAAACCAAAATAATAATAATAATAATATAACACTAGGTAGTGTGAAGTAGACACGTGATACAATCAAGTGTTTCATTTACGGGCGCAGCCCTTTACAATAAGATGGAAGCTAGATATATATCTATAGACTAGTCATAGTTATATAATGTTATACTATATAGAGTACTTCTAGTCATAAAGAATAAAAAAGGAGAGAAAAATAGTAGGAAATAGAAAAGGAGAGAAGGAGGGAGATCTTTATCGAGGCTTTTTTAAGGGGCGATTTCTCCTTCCTCGGCTAATGCCTCGCGCATAGACTTGCTGTTAGGATCAAAATATGGCTTCTCGCCAATGCCGCAGACGCGTTGACCGAAGCGCTCCCCAAAGTCATCGTAGTCCATAGTGGCATTGTGGACCATGCTGCGGTTATCCCAGATGGCTGTTCCACATGTTAGTATCTGGCCGTTTGTATAATACGAAGGAAACATAGGGAGGATGTATGTGTGATGACAGAAAGGAAAAATAACATACCCATGTCATTTGGGCCCTGCCATCTGAAGCGGCACTGCAGATCATGGTTGCGGAGCACAATGTTCATGAGCCAGTCTAGGATCATTTCGCTCTCGGGGGGAGTCAGGCCATTAATAGAACCGGGCTGTTGGGAAAAAGACTCAGTCAGTCAAGTGCATGGAAGCTGGAATTGATAGGTAAACACGTACGTAGGCGCCAATGGCGAAGACACTCTTCCATCCGGTAACGGGGTTGGTGCGGACAACAGGGTGCACTGCTTTCAAGGGAGTACCTGTGTTCTCAGGGTGGCCTCTTGCATCAGTGTAGACCTTGATATTCGCGTTCTTGATAATTCGCTCGAAGACTGTGGTATCATGGGTTAGCTATACAACGAGTTCAAGGGTACCTTGAGCATTCCGGCTTACATGGTGCAGTGTAGTTTGCAGTCTTTTGTTCAAGGAATTTTCGCATGGGCTCGCTGAGGCGGTCGTAGACCTCGTAGCCGGATGCCCATAGCGTGTCTGGATTAAGTCAGTTCGTATGGGTGAATGCAAATGTAGCTAAGTGGCTAACGTACCTCCTCCAGAAGAGGGCAGCTCAGTTAGTCGTAGGCATGTGTAATCCGAGGGCACTTGCTCAGACTGAATGTCACTGTGCCATGACTCGAGCGCCTGCCTTGCGTTTCCCAAGTCACGCGGAGTGGCCTTGCCATTGACAGCTTTCCTCTGACGAGAGTTGATAGTGCTGATTTCGAGGTCATCACCGCCCATAGCTTGCCGGGGGTTGAGCACAGGATGAATGTGCAGAGTTGATTCCTGAGGCTTGCCGACAAGCTCACCCATACGCTGGATCATCTTCTTTTGGAGATCGTTGTTCATGTCATTCTGGTTACGGAAGAAGACAACTCCACGTCGGGATACTAAAAGGGACACTTGTTAATTCTGTCTTTTCATGGGGAACATGCCTGCCCACTTACCTGTTATAGCAAGGTCTCTAAGCAGCTCATCTGAATTGGGCGCATTCAGCATGTCAACAAGGTTTGCTTCTGGAAACTCTGTGCCCACAGTAGGCGTTACCCTGAATTGTTTTAGGGGGTTAAGAACACCCTTGAGTTTTAAGGGCTTTGGAAAACTAGTTTCTTGAGCAAACCCTCTACGCAAGCATGGCGACCGAATGGGCGAAAAAAGTGAGGGGCGAAGCGCAGGTGCAGCGCGGCCAAGCATGATATTCGCGGTTCTCGACATTGTGACTGATGAGGTATCTACTACTATCTGAAGGCAAACGATAGCAAGAAGGAACAGATTGTAGTCTCCATGTGTGCGGTCTTTGCGACTGTAATATCAAACTTCAAAACCCCCCGCCCTTAGCCACCATCCGAATACCAACTAGTCGGCGTATTTTCCTGAGCTTACTATGGTATGCGGTGCATATGTAGGGGACCGTACGAGTTGAGAAGGTTCATCACGAAACTATCTACGCGACTTCATGATCCATGATCAGGCTAGGATAAAGATGGTTTAGCGTATCGGGTATCACGTACTAACTCACACTGCTATAGCTGATGCACAATGACCACATTGTGGTCCGACGCGTATGTTAGCTTAGCTCGGCACATTTATGGAACATCGGCCCAGACTCATTAGACGGAACATTTTCAAAGATCCCCTGTGCCCGCTGCCAAGAGTAGTTGTGGTCCTTGACGCTACAGCTTCATTTACCCACCGAGGGTGCAATTGCTGGATGTCTTCAATTGACCGTGTGACATGGTCCCTCAACCGGCAAATGTGGAAACCGAGAATTCATTGCTATGCCACAATTGGTTTTCCCTATTTGTGGTGTTGCCCATATATCTGAGGGTGATTTGTTCACATACATAAGTACATAGTTTCCTCTTCATCTCATCCTTCTCTTTAAGGCATGAGATGACTGTCCAAAAACTTTAGTTCCTTACTATCTTTTTTACGACACCATCCCCATTCAGGAGATTTTACGTTACTAATTCGGCCATGGCCAAGAAACTCATTGTGATTGCCGGTGCGACCGGCAATCAGGGTTCCGCGATCGCCCGTGGATTGATTAAGACTGGAGACTGGCATATCCGTGCCGTGACCAGGAATGTGAACGGAGAGAAGGCAAAAAAACTTGCTGCTGAGGGCATGGAGGTTGTCCAGGGTGACTACAATGATGAAGAATCTATGAGGAAAGCTTTTGATGTGAGTTATTCACTCCATGTCTTCTTTGTTGGAACGATATCTAATATGTCACTAGGGCGCGCAAGCCATTTTTGCGGTAACCAACTGGTGGGATGCCCTCTTCAAAGGCGCTGGTCTGAGCGAAGCTAGTGATATCGAATATGCCCAGGGCATCATGCTCGCGAGGCTAGCGTCTCAAGTGAAGACATTAGAGCATTATATCTGGAGCACATTGCCAAACGGAGAAAGACTTACTGAGGGAAGAATCCCTGTTCCTCACTTTGATTACAAGGCTCGGGTCGACGATTACATCAAGGAGACCTTGCCAGAACTGGCTGCTAAGACAACCTTCCTCATGTTTGGTTTCTATCCAACTAACTTTGCCTTTTTCCCAATGTTGAAGCCAGTGCCAGTAGTAATTCGCCCCCCCACCCTCGAGAATACGGTGTCTACCAGGCTAACGAAACTGTGTGTAGAACACTTCTCCAGGAAAATATGTTTGGATGATTCCAGCAGCTCCTTCCACTCCTTATCCCATGGCTGGTGACATGAGCAAGGATCCAGGTATCTGGGCAAGGCAAATTTTGGCCAACCCCAAGGTATCACATGGCAAGTACGCGGCTGTTTGCACCGAGGTTCTCAGTCTTGGAGAAGTGCTCGCAACGTGGTCTGCTGTTTCAGGAAAGCAAGGTATATATGTCGAGGTAAAAGAGCATATCATCAGCGATCTGTATGGTTTGGCGGGAGAAGAGGCTCTTACCGGAGTTAGATTTGGCGTGGAAGTGCCCGATTGGTGGGCGCTAGCGAAGAAACAGGGTCTCTTCATTACCATGGAAGATCTAGGTATCTCAAGAGACGAGGTTTCTAACCTTAGACAGAGTCTTGAGAGTATCAAAGAGTTTTTAGGTTAGCTATATGTTGGAATAAGGAGAGTGCTACTTGTTCTATAGCTAGTTCAGAGGTAGAATTGTCTACTTATCTAGCGATAAACTCAGAGGTAGCGAATTAATAGTTTCTAGGGTAGAAAAGAAATAATGCTAGGGGAGAGAGGAAAGATAGATTAAAAGAGTGATCTGTATTAAAATTGTTGTCCGCTCTTAGAATCCGCTCTGCCTTCTATCTACGAGCTATTCTACTACTATATATATTGTCTAGGTTTGATTCTAGAAGAATCTCTTTAAGTAATAGATTGCGCAATGATAATTCCGATAGATAGTTAAATTGGATCAGGGATTGATGTTGAATTGGAGAATCCGGGTGTGGTGCTGAGCACCCGGATTCTATCAGAGATCAGCTTATTAGCTTAGATCTTCAACACTATATATATATATACTTACATTTCTTGCTCAAACTAGGGTATGCAAAGTGTTATGGGCGAAGAGGCCTTCGAACGAGTTTGCATTAGCCTATGGTACAGAAGAAGAAAGATAAGAAGAGTTAAGTTGTCGTACGACACCTCTCTCTTTATACTTTGCTTCTCTACTCTTCGTACGAGTAAGTTCTAACTAAGCGGTATGATATAGGCACGTGATACAATCACGTGCTTTCACTCCACGGGCGCAGCCCATTACACAAAGAAGTAAAATGGTGTGATAGTGCATAGAGTTACTAGTGAGCTTTGTGTAGAAACCATAGTCTGACCTATTTAGTATAATATAGGAACTTTTATATATAATAGATCTTTATGCAATCCTTCTAGTTAATATCTATTATATGTAACGACGTTACAACTTCGCCAAGTATCTGACCAATCCTAGAGCCGGATCGGAGGTAGTACTCGCCGCCCACTTCATCAACCACTCGTTGTGAGGTCGGATCCGATTCGGATCCGACTAAGATAAGTATATAAGGAGACACTTCCTGTAGATAGCTCGGTAGACTTTTGATATCCTTTCGTACAAGGCCTATAGGTGTCTATTCGAATTAAGGCTCGTTTGACGTCCCACGCACTCCCATATGCCTGAGTGACACTACCGCCGATACTGATCCGAGTAGTCTTGCCTGCGCCGTTACATTATACAATTATTTTTATAAATCTAGCCTCGCTTGTTAGAGATCTAAGCTACTCAGCATCACCCCCGGAATCTCCGATCAATCGATTACTAGAAGGTAGAGCGGATTACAAGAGAAGATCATCAGAGAAGATTACACGAGCAGATTGGATTAATCTAATTCTTTAATCTCTCTCCCCTAGCATTATTCCCTTTCTACCTAGAACCTATTAATTCGCTACCTCTGAGTTTATCGCTGGACAAGTGGATATATCTATCTCTGAGCTAGCTATAGAACAAGTGGCTCTCCTTATCTTAACATTTACTAGAATTTATAGCTTTTATAATAGGTTTAGCTTAGTATAAGTGTTATGGGTCAGCCTTAAACAGGAAACTGTAAGGAACCAAAAGTTATTGTATTGCTTAAGCTATTGAAAAGGGGTTTGGGTATGGTCACTATTTATAATGTCCTGCCCTAGCCCTGCTTACTTCTAGCCTAAAGGGTAGGCTATGCCTACCCCATAACAATAAGTTAGCTACTACTAGAATTACAACTAGAAGAAAAGCTGCGTTATCATACTAAGAGATTTAAGATAAAGTTAAAACTAATTCATAGTTAAGATGAGATAAGATAAGAGAGATGAGAGAGATAGACTAAAGATAATATAGCGAATTTATAGGTATTAGTACGCTACGCTATACTACTTATCCTTATTATAACTATAGTTTGTTATTGTAACGGGCTGAACGCCCTTTGGATAGCTCCTCGATGGGATCTCGGTTCAAGCTGCGTGCGCGCTATCTGAACTATGTTTAGACGGCGAGCGCAGAATCCGGGTGTCACCTAGAGCACTTGGATTCTTCTCAGCGCCAGAGCAGCGCTCAGACAACGCGCTTAGGCACTTCGGCATAGCCTTGCTCCGATAAGTAAATAAACACCACGTAAGCAGAGTAGATAGCTCCTTATCGAATACAACCTCTTGTATAACTCGCGATTGCTCCCCGGAGCGCAGCCCCTTACATATACTTTAACTATAAAGATGTAACGGGTCGAGTCCTATTAGACTGTGCACGCAACTACAACTCGCCCACCGCGCCAAAAAGGCTGGCACAAGATATCAGAGCATGCTGATATCGTTGCGTAGTTGATATGTACATAAGATGGCCGCCGTGTTACACGGGGTATGGGTCTATACTTCTCTATCCTGGTCCGCACTAAGGCAGGTGAGTATTACGTTAGTGTTCCGTGAGGCTTGTCTGGCGATGCAGTGGAGTTGGCGTGCTTAAGGAGGGTTTGACAAGACTAATCTATTTGATAGACTAACTTGTGACAATCTTGTTAAGTAAAGATACTAGTAAGAAAGTACAATTTGAGTTGACCACGACGAGAGTAATAATGAAATCCATCCATCCTTATATCCTCATTGCTTCCAGTCCTGACATCTGGCCAAGCCCTTGACATCTCTGATGTTACTGGCATCTCCAGATGTCCTGTCTTGGCGAGATGCCAAATCACGTGATCAGCGCCCCGCGTTGATCATTACCTTCTGACGTGGACGTCCATAGGCCTTCCGCCGTCTCGTCATTTGTCAAGGAGAGAATCCTTCTTGTTACTTGTAACACGCCGCCATCTGAACTGTGATGGGCTATCCAGCCCATCACAAAAGTTAATTTTTTTAATACCTAATTCTAGTAGGTTAGGGTGTGGCCAGCTATCCATTTCTAAGATAAATAATCTAATACACTATATAGTAAATAGAGATAAGAAAAGTCAAGTTATAAAGAAACATCCTTAGTATTTCATTATTAACTATATAAAAAAGAAAAAAATCGTGATATTTCTTTACATATTATAGGCGAAGAGATTTGTAAATAAGTTTATATTAATCTATATTTATAAATGAAAAATAAAAAAAAGTAAAGCTATTATATAACGACTTTTACTCTATATGTAATGGGTGGGCCGGATCCGGCCTAGCGCGCAGCTACTCACGCCGCCCATGTGACCAAAAGGTATGCACAAGATAACAAGCTTGTCTTGTTATCATGATAGCTGGATATATACTATACTCGGTATTAGCGCGCGCACGTATCGCAGCGCCACTCTTAAGGGCGTAGCCTATTACAAGTGCGGACCTGGCAAGAGAAGTATAGACCCGAACCCAGTGTAACAAGATACTCTCTACTACGAGGTATAGTAGAGGTTAGGTAGAGTCGCACAGAATATAAGTAGAAGTAGGGGTAGAGTTGCTGAGAGCTATGTAAGGGTAGAGGTAGAGTTACTGAGAGCTAGGTAAGGGTAGTTAGAGGTAGGGTCTTACGTAACCTCTACCTAACTCTTAGCAACCCTATCACACCTCTATCTCTACCCATTTATCACCGTAATTCTACCTTCTATTTTACTCGGTTTTAGACCCTCTATTCTCTGATAACTACACGCTATAATTGCGAATCCTGCGATGTAACTCTCGTACGTTATCGGCGCTTTTTTAAGAGGCCGATTCAAAATGCACCGATCTGGAGGATGCACAACCAAGATAAAACAAGGCATTGGGGATCCGCTGGGGGAAGATTCATGCACTAAACTCAGCTGACCAAGATGCTTTCGGGAGTAGCTCTGATTACAGTGGCGGGCTCTGGTAACAATTTTTTTCTCTACTATTGCAATTGACTAGTTGCAGACCAACTGACGCGGCTTCGCAGGCTTTGGCCAGAGTGCCGCATACTCGCTGGCCCAGCACGGCGTGCGCCAATTTGCGTTGTTTGACACCAACGGGGCTGGGCTGCACGAGACGACGCAGGTGCTGGCCACCAAGTACAATGTAACAGATGTCCTGAGTGTGTCGACTGACTGTAGCACCGAGGAGATGGTCGAGGCTGGCGTCGCTCAGGCGGCGGCTCGCTTCGGCCGTATCGACTTTGCTATCAACAATGCTGGCTTTGGTGGGCCCATGGGGGGCAGTCCTGACTCAGCACCTGCAGCTTTCGATACCCACCTAAAAGAGAATGTGACAGGTGTGTGGCTATGGCATCGGGCTGAACTGCGACAGATGCTGCGGCAGCAGCTGCGCGATGGGCGCTACGGTCGTGGCAGTATCGTCCACGTCTGCTCGGTACATGCGTTTGCAGCATCGCCGATACAGCTTGCCGCCAGTGCCTACGTCGCTGGTCGGCATGCTATCCTAGGCCTCACGCGCTCAGAGGGCGTGCTATATGCGCCACAGCAGATACGCATCAACGCCCTCTGCCCAGGCTACATTGCGTCCCCTCTGATTGAGTCTTCAGAGCACATCAAGACCCTCGTCAGTAACCTGGTCCGTGAGCGTGTGCCTGCAAATCGACTTGGGGAGCCGGAGGAGGTTGCCGATGCCATTGTGTTTCTGGCCAGCCCCATGAGCAGCTACATGTATGCTCAGTCACTGGTGCTAGATGGGTATGTGGTGTTGTATGATCTTATGTGAGAGAGAGCACAAACACTAATCAGCAATAGGGGCTACCTCGCACGGTGAAATTTCTATGGTATTGAAGAGTTTTGATGTGTTTGAATGCTGTATATAAATTTGCCTCTGGATGTCTTGAGCACTTAATATTAAGATCAGAAACAAGGGCAGAGTAGTTTACAAACGAAGCATAATTCCGAATCCAAAAACCAGTATTTGACACAGGAGGTAACAATTGTGAGGTTGATTCGTGTTGTGATACAATTTTGATGAATGCTTAACAGGGTATAATACAGAGTCTTATATAAATTTCCGCAAACTCGCACGACCCAAACTCATTCATCCGTTCAACGTCCCTACCTGTCATTAGAATATGGGACTTGATCCGCTGTTGTTCAGCAGTGACTTCTCTTTGAGTCGGCGTATGGATGTGCGCACGAGACGGAGATTGGCGCGCACAATGTCAAGACAAGTCGGGGCAAAGGCTGCCAGGTCAGTGGCGGTTGGGTTGCTGATGGATCGCTCGGGCGGCGACGAGGACATGGAAAGTGTGAGTCCAGATGTGACGAGGGCAGCTTCCAGAGAGCCTAGGACAGCAGAGAAATCGGTGAGTCGTAAAGTTATGAGTTCATTGCTGAGAGCATCGGCTTCGTCGGCATCAAGATCGTAGTTGCCAAGAGAAAACTTCCACGGCTGGAGTGAAAGCTGGCTCTCAGAGCGGTTGCTGACATTAGTAGTGTTGCTCAAGTGATTGGTGTTGCTTCTGGCGTTTGAATTGTTGGTGGTGGTGGTGGTCGTTGTCGTCGTAGTCGTAGTGCTACTGGCATCGACGTCCGTGAGATTCCACAGCCGACACAGCCAATCAACCAGATGGGCACACAGTATCGTGACAGCAGTAAGCGGTAGCCGCTGCTGGCGACAACGCTCACAGCTCAGTACGGCGAGGCTGGGGCGCTCTGCTGTCGACGTCACCTGAAGCGCGGTTTCGAGAGGGACTTGAGACGACGTGGTGAGCTCTCCGACGCGGGCCAGCGTTCGCAGGACATCAAATGCGCATCCGCAGTCTTGCATCTTCTGTTATGGCATACCAGTGTTGCGGCCATAGAATATTTAATGTTGTAGCATTAGCAGGAAACTTCGCTCCCACCTGCCTGTCACTCTCAGGCACTAGCGAGCTCAGATCTTATGCAACTAGTAAAATGGGAAATTAGTAGCCCCTTCTAGCAGTGCAAAACAACCTAAAAACTTAGCTATCATAGTGCCTACTTACTTCCTAGACTACCCTTGCCATACTAGATATAAATTACTACATAAAAACCTCAGGAATGTAAAAGTAAGGTAGTTATTTGTGTGTAATTATATAAATCTTGCTTAAAAACAAGGATAGCTAGAGAAAAAATATGTAACATTACTAATGGCTAATTGCGGCAGATAATAGCGGCTCATTCTAATTTTCTGGTTTTAGTGATTGTATAAGAGCTCGGTATGTTTTTTGGTAATCGGCTGGCCTGCAGAGCCGCCGACGCCACGGCTACCAACTCTTGCCCTCTGGACCCTGGAACGTCATTCCCAGGTGCATACAACTCGATAAATCCGCCGAAACTTGCAAATAGCATCGAGTCAGTTACTGCCGGCTCTCGCAACATGACGTCGTGCAATCCAAAAAACAAGATATCAAGGCTACTATCGCATCACTTGTGCATCACGCCAGAGTGTGGCATACTGATCGGCTAGTCACCTTCCATCCTTATCCATTTATCCGTCACAACAATGGCTCTTCTAGACAATCCAGCAGTCGCTCCAGGCTCCACTGTCCTTGTAACGGGGGCTAATGGCTTCGTTGGTGCCCACGTTGCAGACCAGCTGCTCCATCGAGGTTACAAGGTGCGAGGCACCGTCCGAGATGCTGTCAAGCATCAATGGCTGGCAAAGCTCTTTTCTCAAAAGTATGGCGCTGGAAATTTTGAACTTGTCACCGTCAAGGACATGAGAGAGCCGGGCGCGTTTGACGATGCAGTCTCAGGTACTTACCCCTACCTCAGGAGCCCCTGCTTCGTTACTGATAAAATTCTACCATCTAGGCGTCTCTGCCATTGCTCATGTTGCTTCGGTAAGGAGTATGAATGTCACGCCAGACGAATTGCTCCGGACCACCGTTGCAGGAACGCTGGCTTGTTTACAGGCTGCTGCCAAGGAACCAAGTGTACAGCGATTCGTGATAACATCCTCTTCCGCTGCGGTCCGCGCTATCCAAGCTTATCGTGAAACGAATACAGTGTCATCCGACGAATATGATAACCATACTCTTAGTGTGGCTAGGAACATGCCTGAGGATTTTCCACCCATGCAAAAATTTATGACAGCTTACTTTGCATCTAAGGTTGCGGCTGAACAAACTTTCTGGAACTGGATCAAGAACAACAAGCCGCATTTTACTGCAAACTCAGTGCTGCCGTGCACAATCTATGGCAGTCCGCTCGACGTGGTTCACCAGGGCTTTCCGTCTACATCGAAAATCCCGCTCCAGATTTTGGATGGCGATACTGATTCCATTAAACATGTGCAACGTTGTATGTAATAATTGTTTTCAAGTTCCGCAGTTGCACCAATGGCTAACGCAACAGTAGTCTACTACGTGCACGTCCAGGATGTCGCTCGTCTTCATGTTGCCGGCCTGATCCACCCTGACACCGCCAACGAGCGTATTTTTGCATACGCATCTCCATACTCCATCAATGAGTTCTTTGACATCTTTGTGAAATTTGTCCGGGACTACCAGCCTCCAGCGAAGCTTCCGGGCCTCGACTTCCCACTCGCTGTGATCGGTCCGCGGCAGAGAGCGGAAGCGCTACTGAAGGATATTGGCCGTCTTGGGTTTGTGGGGCTGGAGGAGACGATAGTCGATAGCGTGCAGACTCGCATCAAAGCAAGTGGCTAGTTTACTGGGTAGACCTAGAAAACCATTCAATAATATGGTTTACGACTAAATGCGAAAATGTGAAGACTGGTGGATGCATTTTGTACTAGCTGATTCGAACTAATAACTCTAGAATTAGTTATACGTTTTAGTATATCTCTTCATAATAAGTTGAATGTGCTATGTTAGCTCTATGCGTCAACAGGTAGGCCATAGTAACAAAAGTATACGCTTTGTATATAGTCTCGGTTCTAGCTTACCAAGAAGAGCTCTTTTTTTAAACGCTATCACTTACCAATGTTCCATACATTCCCGTAATGGGACGGTACCTAGTTCAGTCCCACCTAAGCCACGACGTGCCCACAAAGGTACAGTATACTGCACAGCAGGGTCTAGAGCTGAATAGTATATATAAATGACGATATATCTCTCTATATTAAGGCTCGTCGTAAGCCTCCTCGGCCGACACGTTGAGCGCAGCAGAGGGTAGGCTGGTAAAAGGGTCTCCACCTCGGGATCTTAAAATCGCGCTTATCTTCGCGAATACTAATTTTGTCAGGAAGCTTAGTACCTCATTTTACAGCCCTATATGATTTCTAGATTTCGCTAATAGAAAGCTCTTGATTATCTCTCTTTGTTGAAGAAATATTGTAGATCGGAGTAAAATATAGAGGCCCAGGGCATAAGAAAGGTAGGTAGGCCAATAACTCTTCAACAAGTGGAGACAGCAAAAAGCTTTCCATCTACGAAATGTAGAACCAATCAAATGCTTTAAAATGGGCTACTAAATCTCCTGTTTGGGCTAGTATTAGCTGGGAAAACCGCGGAAAAACGATTCCAACGTGAAGACCCGATTGACCACACTAAGTAGGAGGTAAAACATGCTATATAATAGGGTCTTAGGCGACGGTGCAGTGAGACTAGGACTCCCAGGCTCCACTCTCCGCTTTTCGCTTTATGCCAGTAATCTCCAACCCACAGACCTTACATTAAGTCATGCTACTACAGGTAGGACCGAAGAAGGCCCTTTTAAGTGAGTTCTCTTCGTCGATTAGTTTCTATGCAAACATCCTCTTTTAACTAATTGACTGGATAGATCAACAAAAGAGTAAACTGAAAGAGCCACACGAAGGGCTTGAATAGGGAGAACTTGCGCCGCTCAACGGCAAGCACCTCCAAATGGTGTACAGATCTGATCGTGCTATCTGATGTAACCCTTTTGTTACTTCGGCCCGAAGGCATTGACTCTGTACTTGCTTTGTATCGCTTAGATCTCTTCTCCCGATGCTGATACTATATTACGTGCAGCCGAGGAAGGCCCTTTAGAATACGACTCTCTAATTCGCCGTCTGCCGAACTAATCCGCTGTGTCGATTAATTGGATATCACAAGGGATTTCCACGAAACCCTATCAAGATTGACGCACAACGGTCGAATTCGATCGATCGTGTGGAAACGCGTAAGCGCAGTATGATATTTTAATGCCAAACTTTTATGCAGTTTGAACTTTTGTACACAGCAGATACAACCACTAATTGTATACTGGTTTGAGGGCCCTTTATATCATACAATACACAAGAATTCAGTGCTGCTGCAATAATAGCCATTTAGTACCTTTTGTTTTCTGCAAGGATACCATGGTCGAATAGTAAGCCTCAAAATGTACTATATGTGGACATGTCTTACGACTATGAGGACACATGTGTACCGCAATATCGCGACCACTTGCTGACTTTTCGATTGAGTGTCAACGCCGAACCAGGTAGCCAGAAGAATGACTTGAGCGTGAAGGGAAGTGCCTCAACGCAAAAACCCCCAAAGTACCGCCTTGCGTGTGACAGCTGTCAGCAGTCCAAGATCCGATGTGATCAGAAACGGCCCAAATGTCGCAGATGTGCGAAGAAAGGCACAGATTGTGTGTACAGCCCAGCAAGGCGTGCAGGGCGACCACGCACTCGCAACAACAGCAAACCCTCTCAGAGCACTGAGAATAGTGCACCCGCGAGCTTGAAGGGGAATCCGGCACCTACGGCAGAGTCAGACGTCACCATTTCTGCATCATTTTGGATGGCGCCTGTCGCTCCGCACAGCATGATGTCCAACACGTCCACCATCCCCAGTATGACGCCGACTATCCAAGGGCCGGGCTCCGACAATGTGGATTTCTCTCCAAGTCAGTTGTTAGATGATGGCTTTCTACACGGCCTACCGGATCTAACCAGTTCACATTATGATACCTCAAAGGAAATAGGCAATTGCCATTTTTCGATGTCGCCCGAGTTCCACATTGGTCCAGAGCCTCTCGATGTAGACTTCTGTGAGGCAACATGGGAACAACAGCAGCAGCAACAACTCCACGTTTCTACACCCATACTTCTTGATGAAGGGCTCCCGTACTGTGAGCTGCTTACTCCAGACGACCACGAAGCACGCCATCATTCGGATCAGCAACATGAAGAACCGCCAATTCCAACCACAAGTAGCAGTAGTATTGAAAGCTGCAGCTACAACATTCCTCTGCAACAACAGACACAACTACAGTTTCCCCATTCCTTGGATCATTGTACTCCATCGACAATATCATGCAACTGCACATCCACTCTCCTTGACCACTTATCCCATGCATTACCTACTTCATATCTTGCCTTGACTTCGACCGGCCTCTCTACGTCTCGAATACTCATCACCAGCTGCTACAACACGATGAAGTGCCCCAACGCATGCTATATGCGGCCTTCCATAGCGCTCGTCATCTGCGAGGTCATTGACAGGGCTCTCATCGCGCTCAAACCGGACGGCGTCTCGCTGTGGACGTCGATACCGGTGCCCACGCCCAACTACGAAAACGGGACTTCATCACCCCCATCATCATCGCTATGCAGCACAAGCGGTGGCAAGAATAACAATGACATCATGCTCCTACCAACAGACGACGAGCATGAGCCACTGCGCTACGGAACATTGCCGATCCAGGGTGCTGACAGGCGAGTCATGGTGCGGGTGCTGCTAATGAAGCGAGTGCTCGAGGTGCAAGGGGTGCTCAAGCGACTGCGGGACATGCTGCTGTCAGGGTTGCTAGTTAGCGAGGATGCGATGGTGAAGAACCAGCCCCTAGCGCTGTGTGCAAATATAGTAGGCGAGTTTGCGAAGAAAGTGGCGGAGAAAGTGGAGACTATAAAGCTGCAGATGTAGGAGGGAATGGATCCCGGGGAATGGGACAAGGGCCCGACTGCTTTCAGCCGTACAGAAGATATTCGTCGTCTTTCTTTTTTATACTTACTTCAGCGTTCAATTGACTGGGCTGCGTTGCATTGCACTTGGGCGAAGTCATGCTCGCCAAAAGTACAGGAGGGCACGGTTACAAGCCAAGACAAGATCGAGTTGAAATGTAGATACCCATGCATATCTGAGCCCATGTAAGCAACTGTGGTACACGCGTGTTTCACGTCAATTTTTGGCCGTACGTACTGACAACCTTGGACTAAATCAATATCAAGGCCAGCTCACCGATTATTTGCCTAAACATCAAACCAGCACCAATCAAGGAGCGAGAGTTCGGTCAATAAGTAATATCAGTGAAGTGGCTTAAGTTCTCGGTTCTCTTGGGGGGCTTATCTCGCTAAAGAGATAATGTTTTGCGGGAGATGTGGTTGAGCTGGTCAGGCACGTCAACTCTATAACCTCGCTCACTCAGAAAGTTAAACCAGCTGCCAAGTTGGTAGCCCGGCTGATTTTTTCCCTCCGTCTTGGCGCATACCGGAGGATGCCATAGCGGTACGGGAATTTCTATTTTGAGTTCTGGCTACTATCCCTGAATTGAACAAGATGTTCTGGAACTACTGTATCGGCGACCGACCTCCTGTCTTTAATCAACATATTGATTGATGCACTAATCCTCTCTATCCGGGTCCATATCATTTCATATTCGTATATAGGTTGGCATGCTGCTCATCATAAACTATTGTAACTTTTCTATCAACAGCTTCTATACCAACCAATCACTGATTCAGTTACAATCATGGCTTCGACATCATCTCTACCTAAAGCTGCAAACACTCATCTTCAGGATAGTATCGCAGCCGACAGTATCCTGGAATCTCTAGAGTCTCTGGCGGCAGGAAACATCCCCATCTCCCTCCGCAATGATGAGGAGAAACGCTTACGCTTTCTCGAAGCTGCTAGAACGGCTTCTTTGAAGCTAGAGCAACCGTGGGATACTATGCAGCGGCTGATATTCTGTGCCTTGCCGCCTAACATCGCGCAGGTGGGTATTGATCTGGGGCTGTGGAGACTCCTTTCTGAGCGAGGGGGAACGGCCATAAGCGCTAGTGAACTGGCCGCCAAATTAGGCGTTGAAAAACCACTACTTGTACGAGTACTGCGCTACGCAGCGACGCAGTGGATGGTGGAGCAGGTTGATATCGACACATACCGGGCAACAGACATAACGCACTACTTATCTATGTCGGGACTAGAGTCTGTCATATTCCATGTGTGAGTTGACTTCTTGATCTAGGTCTTTTTGTTACAGTATGATTAATTTTGCCATGCAGGACCGAGAGAAATATTGCAGTGTACAATGCGATACCAAAGTGGATGTCAGAGAATTCGTATAAACAACCTCAGGATAACAAAAACCTTCCATTCCAACTCTCTAAGAACACCAACCTACACTTTTTTGAATGGCTGTCGCAGCGACCGCGACATCAACAAGCCTTCAACGAGTACATGTCGTTCCAGCGGGTTGGGCAAAAGAGCTGGCTTGATGTGTTTCCACTTAAGAAGTATGTGTACAAGTCCAACGCAGAGGATAAGCACCGAACGCTCTTTGTAGATGTAGGAGGCGGCTATGGACACCAGTGCCGGGAGACACTGAAGAGGTTTCCCTGGCTGCAAGGGCGTGTTGTGCTGCAGGATACCCACGAGGCAGCCATAGACTCAGCCATGGCCATTGAAGGACTAAAGGTTGTTCACCACGACTTCACCAAGCCTCAACCAGTTAAAGGGGCCTGCGTGTACTATCTACGAAATATCCTGCATGACTGGCCCGATCAAGCCTGCTATAACATTCTCTCCCAAATCAAAGAGGTCCTCGCTCCCGACTCGGTCATTCTGCTGGATGAGCTCATCATTCACGATGAGGGCGCACATTGGTATGGTGCCTCGTTTGATCTGCTCATGATGGCCAACTATGGTGCACGCGAGCGGTCGCTGAATGAGTGGGATCGCCTTCTAGAGACAGTTGGCCTGGAACGAAAAACGTTTGTGCCTTACAGCATGCATGGAGATGGTATTCAGGTGGTTGGTGTTCGAGGAACGATTCACGAAAATTTGTGAGGCTCAGGGCGTCCGGGATTTAATTTTCTATGTAAGGGCAGCATTTGACAAGTTGCCCACCATGTTGGACTAGTCAGATTTACATTAGTATCTCATTAAGTAACGTTTCTTTACGCTAAGCTTCATAAACTACCAAAAAGTAAAGTAAAGCCTAAGTCCAATTACTACTCAAAAATTCGTAACAAAAATAGCAACTCAGTATGAAAGAGAGTAATAATATTTATTCATAATTTCATTACGTAATAACTGTAATGGGCTACGCCCTTGAGAGCGGCGCTGCGATACGTCCGCGCGCCAATACTGAGTATATATATCCAGCTATCATGATAATAAGACAAGCTTGTTATCTTGTGCAAACCTTTTGGTCACATGGGCGGCGTGAGTAGCTACGCGCTAGGCCAGGTCCGGCCCACCCATTACAATAACTAAATACTATGTTATAATACTGTCAGAATATGGGCATATTTTGGGTGGTGGATAGAATCCGGATTCTGTAATTAGTCAGAGTGCACGATCCACCGCGATCATACTCAGGGGATCAGCGCGGATCAGATCAAACAAGACAAGAACAACAACTCAGATCAGATCATATCACATCAATCAACCGAATCATAATCCATCCATTATTCACCTATCTTTGATAACCCATCACGATCTGACATATACATACCTAGAATAGTTATATGATGCTCTTTCTAAATATAGCCTAAGAGCTTCCTGAGAGAGAATTAATAATACAGGCGTCGTAGTTAAAAGAAATTGCTCTTTTACTATTATGGTTATGAATATATTTCTCGAAACAACTAGTTATACTTAATTGCCGCGATGTTTGGGCTGCGAGCAAATCGCGGGTCTCGGCATATTTTAGCCCATATCGGACCCCGACGCCTACTTTTGACTTACTAAATTTGTCCTTAAAATTCTCCGAACCTGTACATAAGGCTCTTTAAAGCAAAGACATTTTTGTACAAAAGTTAGTGATTGCTTTATCATTTATTAGTCGCCGAGCTGCAATCGATATTCTATGCACGCAAGACCCAAGTTATACCTATATACCTTATTCTAAACACTATGGCGAGCAGCTTCAAGATCGAGCCTCTGGTTCATCCTGAAGGAAAGACATGCAAGGTATGAGCCACTAGGTCCATATAACATAATTATACATAATCCCTGCTCATACTTTGTTCAGTTTGGAGCTGTAATTACTGGTCTTGATCTAAACAATTTCACTGAAGAGATTGTGGCTCAATTAGAGAAAGCGATCTGGGAGCACAAGCTTCTTATTATCAAAGGTCAACATGATCTTAAACCGAAGCGCTCCTGGGAGTTGCTGCGAGCGCTCGATCCAGAAATGATAATTGAGGACGATGACACATTGATTAACTTGTTTCATCCTCACCAGTGGTTTCGAGTAAGTCAATAGTTGACTAAAACATCCATATTATAGCAAGTCTAGCAAAGTGCTAATCTTTATTAAGGACTCTTTCCAAGCTATCAAGGTCCCTGATGCGGGTTTGTTCTACTTCATTGGGAAAGGCCCCCAAGACGACCCGCGCTACGGCAAACCAGGTCTGGACATGGGCGACGCTAGTCTCAGCCATTACTACAGTGTACCGCTCTCAGACGAGGATTTTGAGGCTGGACGTACGCGTTTCCACGTGTGGTACATGAACGGATTTTATTGGCGACACGGTATTTCAAAGTGCACTATTCTCCGACCGATCAAGTTTCCTACAGAAGGCCTGGATAAGCAGACTGTAGAATGGGCTGACGGCTCAGGTATGACTATGGAAGTCCAGCCAGGACGTCAGGCGTTTCTAGACGTTGAACAATTGTATGACATGCTAAGCGACGAGGAGAAGAGAATGGCAGACCATAGTTGGGCTGATTACAACTACTGGCCATTTGAGAATCTCAAGGACTGCCATTATGCTCCAAACGGCCTAGGTGTGGTAACTGAGGGCAGAGAGCAGCCAGAAGAAGAGCTGCTGAAGTTAGGAGGGGCAAGTAAAGATTGGCAAAAGAGGGTATGTTTATACCTAGAAGAAGCTTAATCTATTAAACACTAACAACGCTGTAGTACCCGCTGGTCTGGGTTAACCCCGTTACCGGCAAGAAATCATTTCAGTGTATGCATCACTTGGTTCGTCGGTTATATATTCGCAATGGCCCAGACGAAACTCCGAAGATTATCGATGACTTGGGCGAAGTGAGGAAGTTTTTGGATAAGATCCAAAGCAGAATTATTAAGCCTGAACACATTTGGGTAGGTCCTGAGGAAGAGCATGACTTGGTTATCTTCGGGAGCTATGGCCTGCTCCATTCGAATATCGACTATCCTGCTAGTTGGGGTAAAAAGTCGGTACACCAGGCCTTCATGGCTACAAGCAAGCCGCCTGCTGGCCCGGTGCCCATCCCAGATATTTCAAAAGAGTGATAGTAGTCGTACATAGTTTGAATAGTGACCAAACGAAATTGAAAGTAATGATTCCCCACCCCTTCACTTCTTCCCGATCCTTTCTCGTATCATCGCAGTCCTTCTCGAGGTATCTAAGCAGGAATCTGATGTATCTTACTTCAAGTGTCTTGGGACTTGGTTTCTCTGGGTATGCGCGTGTCTCTGCGGTATAGAAAAAAGAATTGTGAGCGGAATCTAAGCAATGTGAGGAGATCTATCGACCCAGCAAGCGTCATACCTTTAGATGCTCACCAGTAAGTGCTATGTCCTTGAGATTTCTCAGAATAGAGGTAACAACTTTTCGGACATGTTTTGAGAAAATCATAACACTTCGGTGTACGAACTTGCCGTCGACAATATCCCGTAGGACAAAAAATGCTTGACTCATCAACACAGTCATTTATCTTTAAGGTGGTAGAGATACGTATTTGCTGTACTGATTCTCTTCCAGAACAGTCGTTTGAGTTACCAATCCTTGTTATTTACGCCTATAATGATGCTGAGCGATCATACCTTGGGTGTCTACATAATCATAGTCTAACTGCTCATCTGCGCCAGCATTTCCTTTCAGTGCTGATTTTTTAATCTTGAAATCATTAGATGTAATGTAAACGAAAACAAGATTGTGGCCTTGGTCTCTCGTATGTAGTAGGAAAATGAGAACTCTAAAACTCGCGAGCCTAAGAGCGAACAGGCCATCCGCTTGTTCTGAGACTGTGCATCTCCATTATGCAACGTCACGCAGGCATAGCACTCGATATCGGTGACTCCTATGCACGTGTCAGTGACTGAGCAAATCCGTGGCATATGCCAGTTGGATGCCAGTCCCCTGAGACGCCGGTTGTAATATCGATACTCTAAGCACAACAAGGATCCTGTGACAACATCAACTGTTGTTGGTTCAAGATGCATGCTAACACCCTTACATGGCTTGAATTTAGAACAATACCACATGCATATACCATTTGCAGCACACTCGAAGGAAAAGAATAAGAAGGTGAGATGATATTGCAATGTATGTGTATGCATAGTCTTGAGCAGGTTCACGTGTAGTGAAACATTCCTGACGAAGTAAAGCTGCTACCACCAAGTTCGACAGTCAGACTGTTCCACGCTGAAAACACCACCAACGCACGAGCGTAACGTACAGCCTACCCTCTTTTTCGAGACTTTCACCGCCAAAAGCAAGCACAAGGATCTTTACAACGATCGACTTGGAAATATGCAGTGTAGCTTGTTATAGCCCTATGTATTGGATGAGGGATAGCGCCTTGGCACCATCTGAAGTACTTAGACTAGCTACCAGCTGCCTTTCCACTATCATCAATCACACAATACTTATTAGTCCTTCCTCAGTCGTACAAAACAGAATCCAAGGTGCTTTGCTCGCTCCAGAGTCTGCAACGAGTCAGTCAACATCATTCGTATATGCAAGCATGAGGCGAGCACACGCTTGGCAAACCATCGGCAGTTGACAAGCGACTAGTATGCTTCTCGCCCAATGTTATCGCGACCGCAAAAAATCTTCCCCGAGTCGCCGTTATGACAAGACACTGCCAAGGAGGCTCCCACGTCACATCCCCGCCTTACCCCGGGGCTTGGCTCCCCATATCATACAGGCCATGTTGTCCAATCTTCTGTGCAACGCTGCATTCAACTGGGCTGTATTGGGTAGGTGGTTGTGATCGGTTACTGTTACCCTTATACTTGGCTCTTGTATCCAACCAGTATTGTGAGAAGTGTCGAATGCTAACGTGGTACTACACCAAGGGAGGGCAATTCGCTTTGCATCCCACATTGGATAATTCTTGCCACAAGTGTGCAAATATTTGGCTTTTATGGACGTATTGAGTGGGATTTCCGATGTGCCAAAGTAAGTTTTGTGAGATTCGGCCAGCACTTGAGATTGAGAAAGAGGATATTTATTCTTCAACGCCAGAGGCCATCGAGAGTAGTCCAAAGCTCGCTTAGTGCATTCAGCAGCAACGACATTCACATTACGTTGAGCCTAGTACTCTTATGCATTAATATGGAGATTAAGAAGTCACTAACACTATTCAAGCTTCTCGGATCCAGTTCTGGTGCCGGCTTATGGTCATTACAGTGCCGAGTTTCTATGTTGAGTTCACATGCCCACGTACATGAGGGGTTGACAGTGGGGATAATGCCAGTCCTCGCTAATGTGTGGCACGACTACGGATAAGGATTCGCGGTAATGTATAATGTCCTGCTGGTCCATCTTGCATTTCTGTCGGCTGAAGCCTTTTGGATTCCCTATCGACATCACTTTTGTCAACAACAGTCAAGATGGCGCGCGATGCGATGGACGATTCTGCGTCCAAAGACCATACCTATATCATGGAAGAGATTCCTACCGAAAAGGCATCACTAGCAGGCTTACCGGATCATTTGCACCAGGCAATGAGAGCCGGGTTGAGCCAAGAAGATGCAGAGTTTCTCTACAGCGTCGACAAAGCAGAGCAAAAGAAGATTTTTCACAAGGTCGACTGGCGCTTATGTCCCATGCTCGCTATCTTGTACCTCATCTCTCACCTTGACAGAGCAAATATAGGGTTAGAAACCCTCTCTGTGCTTAAACAAGCATATCAAGCTCCTGCTAACCTCTCTACAAAAGAAACGCCAAGATTGAAGGCCTCGAGAAAACTCTAGGTATGAAAGGCACAGATTACAACGTCGCGCTCATGGTCTTCTTCGTGCCATACGTCCTTTTCGAGATACCGTCCAACATGATTCTCGCAAAGTTCAAGCGCCCATCGTACTATATGGGTACGCTGACGCTATGCTGGGGCACCGTCATGACAGTCATGGGACTGGTACAAAATCTCGCAGGGCTCTGCGCTACGAGGTTTTTCCTTGGTCTTTTCGAGTGAGTTAACCGCAACTGTAGACTGGAATTTTTTGCTAAGCAACTGAAGAGCCGGTTTTTTTCCTGGAGCTATTTACCTCGTTGGCCAGTGGTACCCGCCAGACCGTACGCAGTTTCGTATGGCACTGTTTTACTGCGCGTCTGCTACTAGTGGAGCGTTCTCAGGACTTTTGGCTGCTGCGATTGCTAAAATGAATGGTATGAAAGTTCTTTGTAGTGTTTCCGAGCGTAACTGACTATTGGATATAGGGATTGCGGGACTTGAAGGGTGAGTGTCGTCGTGAGCATCTTGCTAAAACGTTGAGAACTAATGTTATTTGGCATGAAGTTGGAGATGGATCTTCATACTGGAAGGAATAGTCACTGTTCTATTGGGCGCTTCAGTTTTCTTCTTGTTACCAGATTCGCCCGATCACGCAGCCGGTCGGTGGCTCACAGCCGACGAAGCGCGCTTCCTTCGCCTCACACACATTGTTACGCGCGGCCTGAAGCGCGAGAGACAGGTCAATGCTGAGGGCAAGAAAGAGAGTGTAAAATGGGGTGTCATTGGACAGGTTGTAAAAGACTGGCAGATATACCTACAAGCCATGGTTTTTGCAAGTAACGCTGTACCAAACTACGGACTAAAATTCACCATGCCTCAGATCCTAAAGAACAGTAAGTCATCAAACTAGCTTGTATCCCTTCAGAAATACTTATGATTCTAATAGTGGGTTTTACGAGTACAACCGCACAACTCATGACCGCACCACCGTATGCATGTGGTGCAATCTCAGCATTAGTATCTTCCCTACTTGCTGATCGATTTACATGGCGTATGCCCTTTATCGCCACCGGACAAGCTCTTCTCATCATCGCATATGCCATTCTATTCGCCAAAGCAGAAGCCATCAAAGATAACGTCGCAGTCTGCTACTTTGCAGTCCATGTCGCTTGCATCGGCCTATACCCTATTCTCCCAGGATGCAACGCCTGGACCATTAATAACCTCGCCGGACCCGAAAAGCGAGCTGTTGGGTACGTCCTTCCTCGCTCCATCCTAGTAAACAAAATTCACAAGAGAAAATGGAAAACTGACTCTGCACAATAGTATTGCAACCATGATTTGCATCGGCAACTTAGGAGGTATCGTCGGCTCGTTTATCTTCCAGGAAAAAGAATCGCCTAAATACGAAACGGGATTCGGCTCATCGCTCTCGTTTGCTGCAGCGGGACTGGTGTGTGCTTTCACACTGGAATTATTGTTCTTGAGAATTAATAAGAGGAATGCGGAAAAGACGGAGGAGGAGTGGCGCGCTATATATACCCCTGCACAGTTGGAGAAGATGGGAGATCGGAGTCCGTTGTTCAAGTATCATCTTTAGGTTGGAGTGCTAGCGGCGTTTTGTATGGAAGGGGTAGGATGTTGTTAGGAATGGGTGAAATGGACGAACCTATGGTTGTTATCATTTGAATCGAGTCGAGATCCATGTCGTTAATCTATCACCCATACCCTGCGAGCTTATTGTAAAGTACGAGTTGAGGATGATGTTCTGGGGTCCACTTTTCAGACCCGTCGTCGCAAGCCAGGATTCCAAATTCTGGCTAAAAACAATGTAAAACGGCTCCTGATCTGCCCCTTTATCTGCATCTCACTTGCTTATGTGCTTAGTACTGGCACTTCCCGTCAATGTCGAACTGTGTGTCCTCCACAACGAACCGATCGTATGCCCGGTGCATTGTGGGTACCAAATACTGTTATACTCCAAGAAACACCTTATCCCGTACAATAATTGTTTACTTCAGTGGAGTCTCAGCAGAGCGACAAATCAACATGTTTGATACATTGCTCTTTATGTGGCGGTGCTTACACAGAAACGTCGGCGGCCTGCCCAGTCTCCCGAGCGCCGAGTCTCACAACTTGAACGTCCGTGACTTAAGACATCGCCGAAGCAGTATGAATGCATATAATACTCCTAGAAATTCTTTCATGACTTTTATACTTGCTTTTAAATCCAACAACATCTTTTGATTTTTGCTTAGCCATATCGACGATACCAAAATCCCAGACACAATACGAAATAAAACTATATCAGAACACTCGCATTGTAATCCGCACCAACACTTGCACCATCGCAAGACTCACCCACAACAAAACATGGCGACCCGTCACAAAACGGCTTTAATCACAGGGTATGAGAGTTTTCCATCTCCCTCTCCTCTGTCTATTCCCAAAGAAACACACCTAACACAAAACCCAACAACAGCTGCACCCCCGGCGGCATTGGCCACGAACTCGCTCTAGAATTCCTCCGCCGCGGCTTCCAAGTCTTCGGTACTGTCCGATCCGAAGAAGCTAAAAAGACGCTTGTGAGCGAGGGCGTCATAGCTATTCAGCTTGAAGTCACGTCCGATGCGAGTATTCGGGCGCTGCATGATGAGATTTGCGAGCGTGTGGATGGGAAGCTTGATATCCTCGTTAACAACGTGTAAGCACTTACCCCCTATGCTGTTCTTCGTCTTTTTTTGTTTCTTCGTTGTGTGAGGAAGTTGGTCGAGGAGAATGGGTGCTGACGCAATACCAGCGGCGTAAGCCACACAGTCCCCGTACTCGACCTAACAATCGAGGATATGCGCAAGGTTTTCGAAATCAATGTGTTTAGTTGTATACGTTTGGTGCAGACGTTTGCTCCGCTGCTCATTCAAGCGGAAGGGATAATTGCGAATATAGGGTCTGTTGCTGGTATTGTGCCGTATGTATTCGGTGGTATGTATCTGTTTTTTTCTCGCCCTTTGGATATGCTGGTTGGCTGACGCAGAATAGGATGCTACAATGCGTCCAAGGCAGCGCTGCACTCATATACGGATGCACTTCGGATAGAGATGGCGCCATTTGGGTATGTGTTTACCATATAGCCGAAGATCGTGCGAGAGGCTGACTACGAGTAGTGTTCAGGTTGTCTTGGTCGTCACAGGTGGTGTGAAGAGTAGGATATCCGATGTCAAAAAGCGTCTTCCACCAAACTCGCTGTACATGCCCATAGAAAAAGATTATTTGTTCCGTCAAGGAAACTCTCAGCGTAGGTCAAAGAGACTCATGTGTTGAGCAAGATACTAATATTGTGCTAGGAACGGCAATGCCGACGGAAACATATGCACGGAAAGTCGTCAGCGACCTACTCGAACCAACTTCCAAAGCCTGGCTGTGGCGTGGCCATCAATCCAGTCTAGTTAGATGGCTTTCATGGCTTCTTCCCCGTGGCTTTTGGGTGAGTGATACATCGCTCATAGCTTTTCCCACTCGTATCTTTTCTGACTCTCCACCAGGACCTTTACTTTTCCAGAAAATTTGGGCTTGGCAAGCTGTGTTCATAGTGTTAAGAGGTTCTGAATATTTGGCTTGATTTAAATTCCCAGTTATGCATAGAAGCGGCGCTCTTACGATTTAGAATAAGGTTGAATTGCTATACTACGTAGCTGTACTTTGGTCGGCAGCCGCCGCCGGCCAGCCACGCTAGATATCATGATAACAGCCCGTAAGCGATACTGAATACTGGCGCAGCTTTACCTACATATTACTGTACCTTTCCCCTGCTGTGCTCTTGCTGCTCTAGCTGACCACTGCTTTTGCTCGCATTTCTTCCTGCACGAAAAATCACTGGAAGTGATCGTAATATGTAGTTGAAGCTCTAATCAGCTACATTATTTTGCTAATAAAAAACAACTGTTACAATCTCCTTGGCTGAGCACGGTGAAATAAATGTGTAGAATGTTGGCTGCTAGATAGTGCCAAGAAGCATGTGACAGATATTCCCCGATGACCTTTGCTGCTGAACACACCGGCAATATTATTCATTAGGCGAAGGCACTTCACTCTCAAAAGAAATTGTACCCGGCGATTCAACCATGTCGAGTCGCAAAAGTAGGCAAATCGGCTCAAGAGTAATCATCTGACGAACATTTACCTTGGTTTGGCGTCGCGTTGTCCGAGTTGCCGAGGCACATGGCTTCCCCACACGACCTGCCATGCCCCAGCTGGCGCGAGCGTCTCCAGGTCGCGCCTCCACGTTTTGGATATCTTTCTTCCTACATTCTTGCATTCAGCGGTCGCTCCATCTTTAATACCCGTCACTGACTTTTGCTGTGATCCAACTGTGCGCGCAACATGCCTTTTAACACGGAACTTACGAGGGCCCTCGGCATCAGAGGTACGCACGCTCACCTCCGACTGCGCATTAGACGTATGGGTGCTAACAGCAAATAGTGCCCGTTGTGCAGGGAGGCATGCAATGGGTGGGCTACGCTGAGCTTGCTTCGGCTGTCAGCAACGCAGGTGGTCTTGGAATAGTAGGCATCCACCATATCACCATCTCAAGATGCCGCTCCTTACCATGCCCATAGTTGACCGCCCTCACCCAACCGACCCCCGAAGACCTTCGCAAGGAGATCCGAAGATGCCGAACCATGACCAAAAAGCCCTTTGGCGTCAACCTGACCCTCCTTCCCTCCATGGTACCTCCGGACTATGGTGCGTACGCCCGTGTCATCATCGAGGAGAAGGTCAACATTGTCGAGACGGCAGGAAACAGCCCTGGCCCGGTTATCAGACAACTGAAGGCTGCTGGAACCATCATCCTACACAAGTGCACTACCATCAGGCATGCGCAGTCTGCTGTCAAGCTCGGTGTTGACTTCCTGTCCATCGACGGCTTTGAGTGCGCCGGCCACGTTGGCGAGACGGACATTACCAACTTCATTCTGCTCAGCAGAGCCCGCCAGTCGCTCGGCGTACCGTTCATTGCTTCAGGAGGCTTTGCCGATGGTCAGGGCTTGGCTGCTGCGCTTGCCCTCGGCGCGTGTGGTATAAACATGGGCACCCGATTCATGTGCACCGTCGAGGCTCCTATCCACCAGAACATCAAGCAAGCCATCGTAGATGCTCAAGAAACAGACACCACTTTGGTCCTTCGACGATGGAAAAACACCTCCCGTCTGTTCGCGAACAAGGTTGCTCTGCAAGCGGTCGATGTTGAGAAGACCAGCCCAACGGGCAAGTTCGAGGAGGTAGCCGAGTTTGTGAGCGGCAAGCGTGGTCGACAGGTCTTCTTGAATGGTGACAAGGACTTTGGTGTAAGTGAAAAATGTGCTCCCCTGCTTGGACGATTATTGACATTCCTAGGTCTGGACTGCTGGCCAAGTCATTGGACTCATCCACGATATCCCCACCAACGAGGAGCTCATTAACCGCATTGAGCGGGAAGCCGTCGAAACGATGAAGAAGTCGCAATCGCTGTTTGTTGCTGAGGATGCTTCGATCGCCAAGAGCAAGTTGTAGAGGACTAGACGATAGATTTTGGTATTTGAAGCGATGATCTTGCTTAGAAAATAGCCTGTAGTTATACCGTATGTTGACAATCTTGAAGTTTCCACAAAGACTTCATCTGAAGCATAACTCTGCAACTCAAGGAGTGATTTTTGTTCGCCTTTATCGTCCTAAGCGATGCGTTTTCGATCTCAGGATCTGTCCACACGTTCTCGGTCACTATGACGCTTGACCCGCAATATCGTCACAACTACATCTTGCCAAAATCTTACCTTCTAGAATCCTCAACAGCGATTGAAACTCATCTTCCAGATTTACCAAGCCAAGGGGAGTTCGAAACTAAATCATCTAGAATATCCAATCACACAAGTTCACCATGTCGTCCCTCACTGCGCAAGAATCTTCCAACACTCAACACCAGAACCCCATCAATCCCGGCGATGACACATGCGGCACCTTCAAAGGCGATCCTAGCGTCCCATTCAAGACTGGGGGTTCGACAGATCCTGCTGGTTTGAGTACTTCCGTGGATAAGGTACGTACCGTCATCAACATTATTGCAACATTCTACTTAATCTTCACGTGACGTTGCCATATACATACGTACTAAGCACCTACATGTAGTCTTCATACGGCCAACAAAACGCCTCAGATACCTCTGAACAGCGTCGTGGAGAAGACGTGACACAGAATACAAAGCAAGAGTATGAGGGTAGTAGCAACGTGGGTGTTAAGACGGGAAGTGAAAGTTTGCTTGATAGTGTGGAGCGAAGTGTGAAGGGGGATAGGTCCGGGGTGGATGTTGGGCAGGTCACTGGAGGACGAAAATGAATATGAGATCTAGTTTCCGTAAACGATTGAAGATTAAGGGACATTCTTATTGAAGAACTAATTTACACTCACTTCATTAAATCCTGGTTACCCGTGCATCGTAGACCGGCCAAAATAACGCCCGAGTATAACGGAACCGGCTAAAACTCAACCATAAAAACACTCACACCCTAATCCTACAGAACGCTCCCACCCCTAATCGTCTCCTGACTCCCCTCATCCCCTTCCCCATACACATTCCCAATCCGAAACACCAAACTCGGCTCCCCAACCCCCTCCCCCTTCCACCCCACCAGCCTCACCTCCTCCACAACCTTATGTCCCAATTCTCTCTTATGATGCAAAAGCAACCTCGCAACCCCACTCCCATTCGGCGTCCCCAGTATCGCCGCCACAGCCTCCTTATCCTCCCTCGCCGTCCAAACAACCTCCCTCCCCACAACCCCATGTTTCCGCAGAATACGCTGTAGAACATCCAGCGTAGCCCCATTAGTAATCCCTAGCCTAAATACAAACTGCAAATTCGCATTACCCACTGTAACAATCTGCCACTGCAGAAACACGACATCAGACCAGTACCGCAACTCCGGCAGCGTAGCACCTCTCTCTTTCTCCCCACCCTCTTTCCCTCCTCCCTCCCGTAGGAGAATCTGCGTCGGACTCTCATTATCCACAGCCGCAATCATACCCGCCTCTGCATTGATAACGGTGTTGAATTTCGCCCATGTAACAGGTACGTATACCCCATTTCTCACCCCAGAGTCGAGGTGAGAATGCCCAATGGCGGTGTTGGTGGAAGGATCTACGCCGAGGGATTGTTGGAGATGGTATAGCGGGGAGGAAGGGGGGAGGATGAAGTGTGTTCTTTCGTATCCCCAGTGGGAGAGGGCGGAGGGGGAGAGGAAGGCGCTTTGGGCGGTTTGGAGGAGGGCGGCTTCGTGGTCGGTTGCGCGCATTAGGGTTGTTAGGGTGCGGCCTTTTAAGAGAGCGGTGGTGTAGTCGAGGTGTTGTTGGCGGGTGATCATTGTTTTTGAGGTGGGTCTTTGGATAGGAAGGTTGCGTCAATTGTAGTGATGGTATGTGTGTGTGTAGCATTTATGGGTTTAGGAATTACATGTCAGTCATTTTTTTCTTTGTTTTGGAGGATAGTGAGGTAGCTGTGAATCACTTCGATTGTTTTGAGTATTCTGCGTCACCTGCCCAAGGCTTCTGGCCTCATGTCTGATTCACCCAGGCAGGAATCGGAACTACAATAGCACAGCTCGTAATCTCTATAGAACGTGTGTGTTGTATATAATTTCCTTTTTTTGGTTCAAAGTACGTTATGTGTTCATGCATTTTCAATTTCGAGGTGAAAGTAGTATACGGAATGAGACATGTGAAGGCAACCAAGTTTCACTTCTTGGAGTAATCTTTAGTTAATTCAGGGATGAGGGAGACATTCAGCAACCAAGTGAGGTATCATAGACTATTCACTTTTTTAACTTTTCATTCTTTTCTTGTTATCAATGGCTATGATGCAATATGCAGTACAAGTTACACAAGAATACGGACGCTTTTGATGCGCCTACATACGCCGGCTACGCTCTCATGACCTGCATGATCTTTGAGCAGCTTAAAGAAGAATATCTCCATCCTGCCCCACTCTTAACAATATCCATATGCTTGTTGACAATGAACAGATACTTGGCGTGGCACCGGCAGCTTAAAGGTCGCGTATCCAGTCTTTCAAACTCGTAATGCTGGATCGTCTTCTTCGCCTCGAACTACTTCGTTCTGAGGAGATGTCAAAACTCCTTCTCCCGCTGTCTATACTCCTGCGACCCTTGTTCTCTGTGTCCAGCACCACCACCACGACTGTGCAATTGTCTGCACCCTTCATTTGGCTCTCCTTTTGTGTCAGTTCCTCAGCAATCTCCTTTGCGTCCTTGCCCTGTTGCCATCTGTCTACAGCCAACTGTGTGGCTGCTTCTGCCTCGTGCGCTCCACCAACACCATCAGATGCTAAGAGGATAAGGGATTGGCCGTTGAGAGTTCGTACTGAGAAATGAGCTTTGTTGGACACAAGATCGTGTTTTGCAGCCTTTCCTGGTGCAAGGCCAGTTTCTACTCCAACCAGATCTGAAAGGTCATGTCCAGCGAGGCGATTGACGCGTGGTTTCTTCAAGTCGAGGTCGCCGAGCGCACGCGACATGCTGACACCGCCGATACGGGCGATGCCAGATGTGTAGTTGATTGCGCCGCCTGACTCTTCTATTCTTCGCTTCTCCAACGGGCTGTCTGGTGTGTGTTCTACGCTTAGGGCTTCAACGTTCCAGCCCATACTCGAGTCCGACCGTGCGGGCGAATTGGGGGAGAGTAACTGTGGAGAGCGAGCCTCATGCTCGGCATAGTAACAATGGCTGTCGCCTAGGTTTGCCTGGATGAGGAGATTTTGCTTGGTGTCGACGAGGACTAGAGTTACAGTTGAGCCGCCATGCAGGTCAGCCTGATCAAGTTCACGATCTACAGCCTTTAGAGCGCACTGAATTGCATGCTTGTACTCTGCAACGCTCGATGCTTTCGGATGTGTCAAGTGCTGTTCTAGATGTGTGTGGAGATGCTGCGCCACATGGTTCACGACTTCTGTGCCTCCGCTGTGGGCCAAACAGTCAGCCTTAACGCCACATTGGCTAGTGCTTGTACAGGGTTCTTACTGGCCATCGTAGACTGCAAAGATGGCGAGATCTTTCCGAGATTTGATTGAGCCGGGGAGGAGAGTGATGTATCTGTCTTCCTGGTGTTCGCGGGCACCAGAGATCTGTGGGGGAAGTTAGCGAGTGCCGGTTGGGGTAATGAGCATGCCGGCAATGGTAGCATGCAAGGGGCCAGGCACGCACCCTGCTGACGCCGACGTCAATCACGTTGACGCTCATAATGGACGGCTGTGGCTTTTGGAGTTGCTTTTTTACGGAGTGAAATTGTAGAAAGCAAATGAGAAAGCGAAGAGGTCGTGTTTGCTTTTACAAACAATTGTAAGTCGTCATAGGGCCAAGCCATGCCCAGGGACTGCCTGTGGCAATTCGCGTGATGGACCTATACGCGACTTCACAGCCTCGACGTCATACGCCCGCTCAACATGTGTACCCCGTGCTGGGTGGGTCCAATCCGGGGGCTGCTCGCGCCCAGACACGATTACTGCACGATAACAATATTCGACTCAGCCTCAGACAGAAACTAGTTTATCTCTCACTCGACATATGCGCCGGAATGTGAGGGGTGAGGGGGTCAGCATGGTGGGGTCTGCGGACGAAACGAGGGTCCAAAGGGGCACGTGATGCGTCCATTTCCCCGCGCTCAGCCACTATGGGCTTTACGCTTTACGCCTGGGGATATTGTCCGTGTTGAGCAATCCTGTGCTTGTGTGCGTTTATGCTTAGTAGAATCCATCGCAAGCGGAGCCGTCCACATGAGCGGGCGATGTGACAGTGCCTGCCAATCCAGACCTTTCCACCGTCTATCAACCGTTGTAGGCTTGCTGATCACTTGATGCGTTCTTTCAGGTCCGCTGTAGATCCGCTGCTTTCTTGGCTTTTGAGCGGATCGGCTTGGAAATGTGGACATATGCACAAAACGAGTTGGACGCTCTTGTGGAAAATGGCTCATGAACTAGTATCTTGCACTGCCTCAACCGACGGGTGGAGACACCATATTTCCCATCTAGGGCCATCCCAACACCCGTGTCCGTTGTCTCCTGACCCAACTTATCTTGACCATCACTCGAAACATCACTGCACAGCTGCATATCCACCGCACGTTCTTGGTCGAAGGAATGCGGTGCCAGAGTAAAATGCCTCATGCTCCTCGGACAACGCCGCTGTTCATCCATTCTTCTCTCAACCTGCCCCATACTCCCTCTCCTCTGAAGCCCCATACTCGCTTCTCCTTTTGCAGTTCCTTTAGCTTTTTCTTTAGCACTTCGCACTGCTCCTCGTTACTGCCGTTGCGTGCAACCACAGTCAAAAGCTCAATGCACGCAATCTCCTCACTCATGCACTTAGTCACCGCACTCATGCAATCTTCCACCTCCACGCCGAAGCCATAGATCAGCTCATGGAGAGCTTCCATAGCTCTTTGTTCATCTTGGAAATGCTTCTTTAAAGCTCGGGGCGTCTCTGGAGACTTTACCCCTTCCACCTTGACCCGACACAGTGGACATGTGCGGTGGGGGTATTTGGCCTCGTGGATTTTTGGCGTCATCATCCACTGCTCAAGGCAAGCTTTGCCAACGACATGCCCACAGTGCTTGATCCGCACTGGATAGTCGTCCAGAAGCTCATGGATCGGGAATTCGGAGAGGGCGGTGTAGGGATTCTGGCATATTGGACAACACGCACCAGTGTCATCACCGATAACAGGTCTGTCATTCGCAGTAGTAGCAAGCTGCGCCAGGGGTATAGCGCAAGCAAAGTGGTCGACTACGATGGACTCTGCTTTGTCCGCAATAAGTGTTAGCGTGTCTAGGAAGTCGGCGGCCTCATCTGACAAGCGCTGGAGGCGCTCGATATATATTGCACCAAGCTTGACAATATCCTGCAGATGTTCTGCGAGATTACGATGCAGCACCACCATGAATCCAGCCTGCAAACGGCTCTCGGGTGAAGGGAGACTGTAGTCTGTGAGAGCCATATACAGCCTCTCCTTCTCGGTCCAGTCTCTTTGTTGACCTTTGAGTTGCTTTCCGACAGCGAGCTTGATTGTCAGCATCTCTTGCTCCCGTGGCATGACCTTGATTTGACAATCGAGCACGGCAAATAACCACTTTCGAGCGGCAATAGCTTCCCCAATAACTTGTGCATCATTCAGACCCTCGAGACGCGACAGATACGGGAATCGATGCTTCTCAAGTCTACGCAGTATATCCGGTGCTATGCACAGTACGTTCTCTAGCTGATCGTCTTCTTGTGCGAGCCTGCACACATCCTCAAGGATGCGCACACGTAGACGCACTCGCTGATACGCCACTGTCCTGCGTTAGTAGGAGGGTACCGCTATAGAAACAGCAAGCAGTCGAGCAATTGATTTGACTAAGAGTTAGGTACTCACCTTGCTCGTGTACCCACACGTGGTGTACTTGCGAACTGTATTCATTTGATTGATGCGACATACTTGTAGCATTTGGGTTGTCTTTCGGAGCTAGTTGCAGTAAGTGTGTTTGAATCAGCGAGGAGAGTTGGTAGAGGTGATATAGGCAAGCAAGTGCTTGTTCACCCCTTCCGCAGGTGTGAAAGCGAGCGGGGCGGACTGTTTGTGCGCACGTGATGAAAGCGCAGGTGGTGCCGAGAGGGGTATAGAAGGGGAGTATAAATGCTTCCTTGAGAACATTTCTACACATTGTGAATTCGGTAAGGGTTCAGGTACTACGTAAAGATGAGTAAATGAGACAACATGATTCCTGAGCAGCTACAGTCCCTGAGATCGAGGCAATACACTTACGCGGCACATCAATACTGAACGGGCACGATACCAGAAAAGGGATATGTAACGTTTCCGTTATAATTTGAGATTGTTGGCTTCAACCATGTCTTTCATGGGGACCATGCAGTGAGTACCTTGAATTGCATGGAACCAGTTCCTCGTTTGGTAATCTTGGCCATTGGATTCGCAGAATTGTCCCTCACGTTCACACAAGCACTGTGAAAATATAGACAAGGTGTTATGCAGTGTGTCACTAAGTGCTGTCAATACATGTATTGGACATAGCTCGTGGTTCTGCGATATCGAAGAAGATACCAGCAATCAAGTGCAGCACGACCCATCCAACATGAGACTTTGCTGGAGCGCCGAGATGCGGCACATTGATTCAATTGCTCATATTTTCAAGACCGAGTCTGCTTGACTCTGGAAGCCATTTTATATGCGAATACTATTAAACTGTAAAGATCGTATCCTGATACATAATGTTTGTCTTTCGCTCTACTATGTAAGAATGGAGTACAGGGGCCCAAAGGAGGCTAGCGCTTGGAGGGGTCTTGGCAGACGGGAAGAGCCGCACGTACTCTGGCATCACCGAGACGCGACAGGACAAGGCATCGATACCCCTCAATTGCACTTTGATCGCGCATGATGCTTAGATAGCTGGTTTTTTTTTCGTCCTCGTCCCTGCAGCATCTAAAATTCCACACAATGGCGTCGGCCGTCTTCTTTCTCGACCTCAAGGGCAAGGTAGGGCGGTCAAGGCTAGAGTGATGCTGTATACTAACGAGTACATAGACCCTTTTGGCGCGCAACTACCGGGGAGATATTCCCATGTCGGCGGTTGAAAAGTTTCCTGTCCTACTCAGCGAGGCCGAAGACGAGAGCTCGGCCGTCCCACCATGCTTTTCCAGCGAAGGCATCAACTACCTCTACATCCGCCACAACAACCTCTACCTTCTCGCCCTCACAAAACGCAACACAAATGCCGCCGAGATTCTCCTGTTCTTGCACAAGGTTGTCGAGGTCTTTACAGAGTACTTCAAGGAGCTCGAGGAGGAGAGTATAAGGGACAACTTTGTCGTCATCTACGAGCTGCTGGATGAGATGATGGATTTTGGATACCCACAAACGACCGAAACAAAGATCTTGCAAGAGTATGATCCCTGGCTCTTGATGATGCGATTCGTTCCTGACATAGTTTCTACCCAGGTACATTACTCAAGAATCCCACAAGCTCGAAATTGCACGGCCGCCTATTGCAGTCACAAACGCCGTCAGCTGGCGAAGCGAAGGCATTCGATACCGCAAGAACGAAGTTTTCCTCGATGTTATCGAATCTCTTAACCTACTTGTCTCTGCGACCGGCAGCGTGTTGCGATCAGAAATTCTGGGTGCTGTCAAGATGAAGTGTTACCTTTCCGGTATGCCTGAACTACGACTGGGACTGAACGATAAGGCCATGTTCGAGAGCACAGGAAGAGCCACGCGAGGAAAGGCCGTCGAGATGGAGGACGTCAAGTTCCACCAATGTGTGCGCTTATCAAGATTTGAAAACGATCGAACCATCAGCTTCATTCCACCGGATGGCGAGTTTGAGCTCATGAGCTACCGATTGAACACACAAGTCAAGCCCCTCATCTGGGTCGAGTGCATAGTAGAGAGCCACTCGGGTAGCAGAATAGAATACATGTTGAAGGTAAAAATCTGCATTTCAACGATACGAATGCTGTGCTAACACATTTCAGGCACGAGCACAGTTTAAGCGACGAAGTACAGCGAATAATGTCCAAATTTCGATACCCGTTCCTGAAGACGCAGACACACCACGATTCCGAACAAACATCGGCACGGTCCACTACGCACCAGAAACATCCTCCATTGTGTGGAAGATTAAGCAGTTTGGAGGTGGCAAGGAATTCCTCATGCGCGCTGAACTAGGCCTGCCGTCTGTCCGTGGTGACGACGAGAAAGGCGGTGGTATGATGGGTGGTTTTGGTGGCAGTATGGGGGGCGTTGGCGCTGGCAAAGCAAAGAGGCCCATCAACGTCAAGTTTGAGATTCCGTACTTTACTACCTCGGGTATCCAAGTGCGATATCTGAAGATCATCGAGCCCAAGGTAAGTTCACTTGGTAGATGGCTTCGCATATAGGTTACTAACACTGACATAGCTGCAATACCCATCATTGCCTTGGGTGCGCTACATCACACAGTCAGGCGATATCGCCGTGCGATTACCGGATGTGAATTAGAGGATAGTCAGCGTCCGGCAATGGACACATTTTTGAGAGACCAGAGCGAGAATCCTTGCTCCCTACGTTCTGCATGCAGTGTGACGACATTCTGAGGCATCCAGTGCAGTTCACACGTTCCACAGAAGCAATTTGTTCGGCTCTTGCTGCATACAACCCGGCACTCAGATGCAAGCAATCCGGCACATATGTACGAAGCCTTCCCCAGATTGGAATCGTAGTCACAATGTGATTGAATGCGACTTAGCACACGGAACACAATGTCGCTTCTCATGTGTGCGTGTACAATCTTGGAGAAACTCATTCTTCGCGTCTGGGTTAGTCTTGACGATATGTATGCCACGTAATGAGAGATAAATGGGTTACGTAGTCATGCCTACTTACTTCAAGGCCACCAATTGTGACACGTGCAAGTCATGAGGTGTGTTGTAAATGGTGTCCTTTGGCGATGGTCTCGTTCAAGAGTAAGCATGGCATCGGTGTTTGAGTCTCCGTCCTCGCCGGCTGATCGACAACCGGGATTTCCGTATCTATCCTCCCCAGCACACTAGGTTCACGAACGACCATATCCATATCCAGACCACCCTTCCTAGGAACGGGGATGGACAAAGAAAAAAAGCAACACATTCACAACCATCTTGTGGCTGCAGTTCGACTCGATGTTTCAAGCTCGATACTAACATGGCAAATGGCTTACGCAACGCACGGTGATACAGCATTTCTCATGTTCCTCTGCCGTGATTTCTCCCCACTCTCATTCTCCGAAACCATCTACGTACATCTAGCATGCCCTCTCGTAAGGCCCACCTCTTACCTCTTACCTCTTACAGCGAAGCCATTGCCCTGTGGCACATAACCCTCCAATCAAATCAACCCACTACCATCGGTACTGCGTAAAACAAGTCATCACACCGCGTCTGATGGTGATGCATAGGGCTGATATTTCGCCCTGCATGATGTCCCTCCCCCAGCCAATCAGGCAAACAGTGCGTGCTACGAAATCCGAGACTATCTACGCAACTCCCATGGAACGCGTAAGCGCGGTAAAGGGCTGTCGATTTCCGACCTGAAGCATTTTGGCTACTAAGTTCTCTGACGCACTATAGTAGTGTTTTCCAAGCAAACGCACGCGACGACGCTACTACGTCTGCTCAGCCTCTATCTCTCTCTCTCTTGCGGGACCCCTCCGGATAATGGGTGCCCATGACGGAGGGAAACTGCAAGGTAAGCCGGCATGGCGTCGATTAGCCTCGCAGGCCGCGTATGTCAGTCCAAGATAAGTATTTGAGGACAAGGGAAGTAGCATTAATAGTGGTAGTGGTAGTAGTCCCTTTTATCAGTTCTTCAACCATACATTACAAAAAAAGATAGACGGAGAGAACGGCATACAGAACACGATGAGATTTCTCCTCCCAACCACGCTCACAGCCCTAATCTCCCCTCTCCTCGCCCAAACAATCACCCCAGCTCCAACCCCAACTTCCACAGGAGCTTGGTACGAAACCGGTCCCCCTTGGGCCTCAGACGACCCCGCAAAATGGTCTTCGATATACAGTTCCCTCCTCTCCGATGGCAAAATCCCTTCAACCCTGACCGCCGCACCCTGGCCAACTGGTAGTTGGGGCCCCGGCCAAGGTCCCTGGGGCGGTCCTGGTTTTGGTCCTGGCCATAGTCCTGGCGGTGGCCCAGGAAGACACTGGGGTGGTATGTCCCTATAGACCCCTTCTATAGAACCATTGCAAAAAGCTGATTGATATGTGTACACTACAGGTCCCGATGGCGTTGGTCCCTGGGGCAGTTCCAATTACGGCCCCTACAGCGACTGGGCTACGCGCTCGGACTGGCGCTCGGGGCCCTGGACGGCGTGGTGGGGCGGCAGCAAGTGTCCACCATCCGAGTGGCCTGGGTGGACGGCGGGCCCATGGAGTACGTCTGCGCCGTGGACGAGTTGGGAGGGGTGCACGGCGAGTACGACTGCGACGAGTGTAGTTACAGCGACGGTGAGCGGGGTTGTGGCGACGTCGACCGCGTATGGGCTGGAGGTTGCGGCAGCGAGTGCGGAGCCTCAAGAGCAGCAGGGTGCTGGGGGGAAAGTACAGGTGGGTGTTGGGGCGGTGATTGGGGTTGCGGGTTTGGTAGGAGTTGTGGTGGGGTTGTAAGAGGTGAGAGGATGGAGGCACTGCGTTCGTTTGGAAAGGCTAATAGTCTTGTTGTGGAATTTGTTGATGATAGAATATCCTCATTCGATACATCTTCATATATGTAGTCAACGACATAAAAGTTACAACACCTACTTAAACTTTCATTTACTCCCTCCCTTACTCTACAAGATGCGATTCATCCTCGCCTTCCAACCAACCTTCTCATCCCTGGCTTCTTCAGTTCCACTACCCACACTCACGCCTTCATCCACATATCCACTCTCATCATAAATCTCGTCGGGATATACAGGCTTTTCAATAAAAGTCTCCGTTGGCGGTGCAATCACCATCTCGAGCAACATGTATACGAGAGCCGTGCCTATGAAGCCCAGCATCCAGCCAAAGCTGTACGGTCTTGCGCCCACGCCAGCGTCGATCTTGTGGTTTATGGACTGGATGAAACCCGGCAAGTTGGGTGCAACGCCAACGAGGAAAGCGACAATGGCACGCCAGTTAACACCAGCTGTATACCTGTAAATACCATTGTACTGGAACAGTGCCAGCGTGTCATATTTGGCGCGATGTACGACCCAGAAATCGATAACCATGATTGCCGCAATGGGGCCCAAGAAAATGGCATATGCGGCCATGAAGTTGAGGAAGCTGCCGGCGCTAGCGAGGATCTTCCAAGGTACCAATGCCCAACAGAGGATCGCGCACAGGAGCTGACCGCGGCGGATGTTGATGTACTGTGGGAACAGGGCCATGAGGTCGTTTGCGGCAGAGAGTGAGTTGGCAGAGATGTTCACACCCAGGGCGGTGAGGGCAAAGCTAAAGGCAGCGAAGAAGCGGCATGCGCGGTTGTCCCAGTGTGCAATGAGCGCCATGGGGTCCCAGTTGATTTCGCCATATTGAGCAGCACCAGCGGACGTGGCGGCGACTCCAATAAAGGCGATGAAGGTAAAGACTAGGGGAAGGAACGGGACGTAGATGCATTGCCATTTCACCGAGACACGGGAGTAACGTGAGAAATCCGACTGTCCAATGAGTTAGATCTGGCAGTTCGATGCTGGAAATGAACAACCTACCTGGTTGACAGAAAGTGTGGCATAGTTTCCAGTAACGGCAGTCAGAGACGAAAGGAAACCCCACGAATACGCACTTCCCTTGAGGGTTGCAGTTTGGTTGAACATCTCGCCGCCTCCACCGGTAGAGACAAAAGCCCAGATGAGAATGGCGATCCATGCAGTGGGCACAATGATACTCTTTGCCATAAACAGCCACCTCAACTGGTTAGGATGCATGACCAAAAAGGGCAAACTTCCGAGCCAGAAGATAAAGAAACTGATCATGGTGGCCGTATCGATGCCCTGGCTCTCTGGAATATCGTTCTTGAGGGTGAGGAAAGAAGGCCATATAGCGCCAATCATGACGCGGACCGAATTGGCACCGTTCATGTTCTGAATGGCAAACCAGAAGATGGCGAGAATGGCGCGGGAGATAATGGCCAGGTAGGAGCCCCAGAAGCCCCATGAGGCGCGTGCAATGACGGGAAACGGGACGTGGTGGAGGACTCCAATTGCGCCGTTTAGTGCTATCACGAAGGATATCATGAAGAAGGCGAGGGCAACTATGCCGAGGGATTCACGCCAAGTAAGACCTGTGGAGGGTGGTCAGAATAGGGGGATTCCAGTGACATGGAAATGGCGTACCAATTGCGATGATGCTGGACGCGAATTGCCATGTTGCAGCACTGCAATACCGTTAGAATCACAGCGGACGCATTGGATTCGAGGCGCATACTTGAAGGCATCCGAAATCCAATACGAGACGAAGCTGGTCACACCCCACTTTCGGGCATGCCTCGGGACAGGGTCTAAGTCCTTGTTGGTCCTGTGAGAGTTGAGCAGATTAGCAAGAGTTCTTCTTCACGTTGGATGAGGGCACGCTCGTAACTTACCAGCGCGCATTGCCCTCTGCAAAGGCACTGCGAGGCTGCTCGACCTTGATGGTCCAATGCGGCTTCTCGATAAAAGGCATGATGACCTAGTGGCAAGCCTGCCAGCGGAGCAATGTCAAGAGCTGACTGGAGTCGCGAAGCGTCTGGTCTCGATGTCGCGCAAAGAGGGACGGGCACAGGCCTTTATCTTTGGGAATCCAACCGCAGGCATGGGGCAGATCGTCGTACATTTACCCGTTACCACAACTAGTTATATCAAGGTCTGGAGATGATAAGATAAGCACACGAGGGAATCGTCTAATTTGCTTGACAGTTGGGGACGGGCGGGTTGGGGAGAGGTCAGTACGGTTAGGCGAGGGGTCCGACGACGCCTCAGAGTGTCTGCTCCGAGTAAGTTCTCGTATAGAGCCAGTCACAGCCAACTGTGCCACTGGTCGATGGCGAGTCAACCACCTGGGCATTGCCTGTCATTCGCCCAGGCATCCCAAGTTGCAGATAAGACACCCCGGCCATCTCAACGCTAGCACTAGCAGGGCGCGGCTCGGTGGCGCCTCGGCTCCAATGCCCCGGACGGTCCCTCCCCACGCGAGCAAATAGTCTCCGCTTCTCCTCTAAGTGTAAGCTTTACATATGCACAGTACTTGTTCCCCTGTATGCTGAAGGATGCATTCTCCTGGGCCTAGATGCCTACCTATAAGTATGTTTTTCTATATATATGTATGTGCACATTCGCCCTCTCTTCACCAGCTTTCACCATGTACTTACACATACGCCAACGTGTGGTCGTCCCGGATAGTGGCGTTCACCCCAAGTGATACCTGGCCACCTACTACCGACCATCCAGTTACAAGAAGCTCTCCAACAATTTGTTCATCTGTCGTCTTGTGCTGTGCTGTATCCTTCAGCTTGATCTCAACGCAGCTTAGTGGAACACCAAAATGACTGTGCTTATTCGACGCCGTATCTCTTCGGTAGTCGTACATGTTCGTCTGTGCCACTGCCCCGGCCACCTTGGCCGTGGTCAAAGCGTACACAATACGAGCTTTGGTGTAGATTCGAAGGTCGGACAGATCTTCCGAGCTCAGTGGTGGGGTGTTCAAGCCTTGTCGTTCCGAAACAAACATCAAGCGCAACTTGCCAGGCGTAGTGCCAATTTCCGCTCTGGCTGGGGCATTCAACTTGGTAAGAAAATTGTCAGCAGGGAAGCGGCCGGCAGTCAACATGCGCGACTCGAGGTAATGGGCCAGCTTCTTAGCGGCACCCATTGCAGAAGTCTTGGTGGTATTGTGAAGCTTTGCTGCAGTCTCGGCAGAGATGACAGTGACAGTAGGAGCGACGGAGCGAGTAGCAAGCGTCAGATCAATGCCTGGGCCAGCCACAGATTGGATGACGACGGTAGCATGCGAGAACAAGGCAGCGAGAGTCAAGCACAGGCAGTATGAGTGAGTAAAGGTATCAGCGGGGAGGAACGTATCCGAGGCGTTGAGACGTCGGATTGACGGAAGAGATGTAATGAGCGCGCCAGTGGCAGCAACAATATTCTGTGCTTGTTAGAGAGGTTGCCATGCCGATTTGCTGCCAGTACATACCTGTTGGGTGAATTCAACAATCTCGGCAGGCTTTCCAGGGGCCTCTTGCCAAAGAAAGACAATGCCAGGAGCCTTCTCAGAAGTCGTGGGGAGCGGGGCGGCGCTGTTCTTGTGCTCTTGTACAAGCTCATGCCAGACAGCGACATCGACCTTGCCGCCAATGCCCTCGGGTACCTCGCTCCAATCCATATGCCTACTGGTCTTTTCTACGGTCCAGACAATCGAACGAAGGCCTGCCACAGCTTGGCTGACGTCTGAGAGGGGAACAGAGCCGGCCTCAGCAATCAGTGCGTCAGCACCTGTTTGCACGAGAAGTTCAATGAGAGTTTGGTGGGGTTGGTTGTACGGGATCAGGATGGGTGTAAAGCCGTAGAAGGCGCCGGCGAAAAGCGTGCACAGAAACTCAAGGCTGTTGGGTAAATAGACAGCAACACGCTTTGTGCCACGACCCTGCAAATGTTTCCCGATGACAGCAATCTCCTTGGTGACTTCTTCAAGTGGGTGCTCGGTGACACCATCCTTGCCGAAGACAGTCATAATGTGTGCACTGCCGCTGGATGAGGCACCCTTATCGAGGGGAATCTCGCCTGTTACACGTCGCCAGATATCACGGAGATCGCCATCTTTTCCGGCAGAGTACATGGGAGTGCCCGGAGGTTTTACGGCCAGGCCGGTACGGAGGGGGTCTAGTGGGGTTAGTCGAAGGCATGGAAACAGTACTCATGGAACAAACATACAGCCATGTGGAGTTTCGGGAGACCTGAAGATGGCCGATTCTCCCGGGTGCCTCACATATGAAGCCTGGGCCTGTCGTGCGAGCAGCAGTGGGTGGGTATCAGCATCGGCGTTGTCGTAGACCATCCATCCGAGGAAGCCGACGATGGAAAAGGCGATGAAGGTGGTGTAGGTGTTCCAACCGCTGAGGAGGCCCGCGATGGCCCCATCGATCTGTTGGACAACTCCGGTCATGGCTAAATATGGTTGTATTTACATGGAAGAGAGTGAAGGTGTGAAAGGCGCAGTAGGAAGCAGCGGGATGGCGGCGGGGGAGCGGCTAGCCATGGGACCCTTGTCGCGCTTCCTCCAAGGCTCGCGCCGTTCTCCGAGGGCCCTGGGCAAAACATGGTTGCTATCCAACACCATAGCTACACCATGTACTAGCATTCACCCTCCACCCCAGCCATTGCAAAAATGTCACTGTAGCCTAGAGTCTCACTGAAGAGCATCTAGGCATAGACACGGATTACTAACTCCACAGCACTACCACAGCCAAGCACGTGACACTCGCGCTCCGTCCTTCAGCGAGCCTCCCCCTCGAGCCAAACAAACAACCATCGCACAAGCTCCGCCTGCAGCTCACCATGTCGCTTGCACGAAAAGCGCACTCGGCGACGCCGCCCATGCCTACGACGCCATCTGCCCAGACAGACCAACAGCCCACGCCTAACGGCTCCTGGCGACATCCACAGTTTGACGAGATTGCGCGTCGCCAGTACGCTACGACCTTTGATGAGCGCAATGTGCGCGCTATTGTCCTCAACTCTGGCCTGCTATTTCTCTCGGTATATGGCCAAAGCATGAGCGAGAAAGTGAAGCTGGTGGGATATGCAGCGTGAGTATTGCCCTCAAAGCAGCGCGCCCTGCAGGCCCTAACATGTCCCCAGTGCTCCCATCAACGCTGTCGTAAAAGCAGTGCCCTTCGGTGCATGGGCCATACTCGCCATCCGGGTCATCTTCGCCGCCAATATCGTCATTGCCTTTCTCCCACTCGTCCGCCGCTACTACCCCGATGATATCGCCGACATACCTCTTACTCCCTCGCAGCGCGCCTCGATGGGCCTCAAAGCAGACGTGCATGCGCCCCCGACACCAGGGTCTGCCTATGCTTCTCCAAGCTTTGTCACACCGCCTCGCTACCAGCGATCCACACCACGCAGTAACAGCTTCAGCAACCAAGACTACTCCCCTTTCAACGGCAGCCCTCGCCCAAATCTGGGGGGGTCAACCTCCAACTCTCCCTTCAATCTCAGCGGGTCAGCAGCAAAGCGCTTGAGCTACAACAGTTCAATGAGCAGCAGTCTGTTTGGTGATAGCTCGAGCAGCGTGACCCCAGGTACACCCACACCGTCCACCGGCAAGGCCAGCGTGGGACTGAATAACAAGTGGTTGTACGAGAAGCGAAGGGACAGCCCCAAGAGCAATCTCTTCTTGTGAGGTGATGCTAATAGCTTGAGATGCAAGCGATAGGAATAATCGGTCATGTATGGGATGAAACATGAACGCTCTATACCCAGATGTATTGCGCCGGCGTTTGGATCTGTTTAGTCTTTTGGTACCATAGCTTGAGGCAGCCGCTCCTGTTGCTTTCAATATCAACAATCGCAGCTTGTCCCCCGACGAACAAAGGCCTCAAACTCCTTTGTAATGTGGCTTCTTGATAGCCGTCTGCAATCAAAACTTTGCTTGTATATATATTGTACATCCAGTCTATCTTATTCCCACACATGGGACCGACTCCCATCTCATGAGAACCGATCCCCCTTTCTACTCCGATACACATCGCTAGCCTCATACTTGCTCTTCTCCCCAACCCTCTGTCCCTCATCTGTAGGTGCATGCCTCGTAGGCGCCGGATCCTGACTCGCCTGCGCGCTCGGATTCCCCTCTACCTGTCCCATGCCTCCCCCATTCCCCCCATTACTCCCTCCTTCGCTCCGCAGCCGCCCCAATTCACTCGTCACGCTCTGCGGCGCCGCTTGCGTTGATCCCGGTCGTGCTGTCGGGTTCAAAGGAGTAGTTGGGGGTGATTGTATGCCATGCTCCATCTCGTAGATGCGCACGCGCTTTTGTCGGTCGAGCTCTGCTTTGTGGGCTCGGTCTGCGTTGATGCTGCGTTTGGCGAAGAAATAGGCGCCGCCGCCGGCGACGATGAGGGTAGCCCAGCCGTAGCTGTGGGAGGCATTGGGGTTAGTTGGTGTGGGAGGTTGGGGAAAGTATGAGGAGGTGACGTACTAGACTGATTTTACCTATTGGGATTGGGAATTAGTAAATTGAAAAAGAGAGTTTTGGGGTGGTGCTTACTGTGTTCATTTTTGGGGTCGCGCAGTGCGCTGGGTGTAATAATTGGGGTAGCAAAAAGGAAAAAGTTGGGCTGGGGGGGAAATAGCTTGTCGGTTTTCTGCGGGTGTAGTGATGAAAGTGGTCTGATTGTTGTGAGGCTGACGGCGATTATTCGGCGATTGGGGGGTAGGTTGCGGGGACGAGGGGTGTGGCGGTGCCAATGGGGCTTAGTACTATCACTCGAGTATAGGATTACTTGACGACGTAAGCTGAAGAGGAATGATAGTACTTCCTTTGTAAAATTATAGGACTGATTGTTCACTTCGTTCTACTGTCGTTTTGTGAAAGACGGCTGTTTAAGTCCTTCGCTTACCGCTGAACCGGTGGAAACTGTACATTGCGGTATGTTGTGTACGTAGTGCCTGCCACCTTTCAAAGTACCAAAGTCCTTCTTTCCTATTAATGATTACGGGAAGTTAGAATAACTGGAAACTTAATAGTATCTTCTGAATCAACATTCGCTTGATGCGTCCTTCCTGGACCAGTTTCAAATCGTCATCCATCATGCGATAACCATCTGAGGCATCAAACCCAGCCTAATGATGCAATTGAGCAGCCACCAGATAAATCATCACATGAAAGTGAAAGCACCAAGACCAAGGAAGTTCAGCCCTTTAGAGAAAGGGCGCAAATCATATAGGTTTCCAACGCGCCCTCGTAAGAGACTCTGCGGCTCCAAGATTGCAAGACTTGTGCGGAACACAGCATCATAGTGGAACCCTCCCGTCAATGCACATCGCGACCTAGTCCAAATACGCCAGTTTGACAACCGAAGTCCCGTAAACGTGCCGCTCTATCCATTTTTCATGCGCTCTCGAGTAAAGGTGACCCGAATGTGAAAGCATACCATCCAGACTCGGTCGTAGATGCCCCTTACGGACGGCTCGCTCCTCCCCAATTGTATCAAGTTTGTAAGCTGGTTCTCTCGCTAACTGCCGAAGGAACCGCGGATTTGTGCTGCAACATATAGAGTTATTCCCGAGAGTCGGTGGCTATCACCTACGCAACACTGGATGAGTATACGCGCAGTATTCAGCCCGCTTGCTACACGTAAGTACTCATCAAACCGGCATACTATTCGCGCAGAGTTCTCCGAATAACAAAAGTAGAGCTACTGAAGTCCATACTCAACTCAATTGTCCAGTTGCTTCACTGTCCTCATTCTCCCGAACACAATTCCTTTTCCCTTTCTTCATCTAACTGAATCCCTTCAACTTTGTCTCACATCAGAACTGATCCACTCTATCAGACAGAAACCACAATCATGAGCAGATATGCCGCCTGTCAAAGAGGAAGACAGACGGATTTCAATGCACCTTTGCCGAGGCCCACCGCACGAGGAAGCGCCACTGCTACCTTCAACGGGCGGCCCCACAACCATGTAACTGAAAAGACCCGCTTTTCACGGCGCCTACTCTCAAAACACCACCTGCCGAACTCACTCAACCTCGTACAAGCACAAATTCACCCTGAATTTTCAGGAAACGTCCGTGCATTGTTTCCAGCGTACTGGGCCAGGAACGGTCAAGATCGGCTGTTCCTAGCCGTCATGTTTCGCCGTGGCGTGCTACGGTTTGATTCGAAACTTGACTTTTCGGGCATCGAAACCTCTCGCGCCTCATGATTGCTATCCTTCTGTAGAAAAGACCAGTACTTACCGATCTAGCAAGCGCCAGATTACTTACAGCATAATGTGCAGTGGGTTCTCGAAGTTTGAAGCCAGTGGAGTCGCCTCACCACAGCGCGTAAACATCCATGACAAGCTAGGCAGTCCCGCTGCGGATCCCGTATAAGCACTTTCTAGGTTTACTCCCGCCAGCTTGTTCCTCTCTTGGCACCATTCCGTGCTCCATTGTTCTTTGCCAAGTATTGACTGAGGCGCCCAGGAGTCAATTCGCATACACTCATCCCTTGACCTATACCAGCGCACGTCTCATAGACGTGGGGACTACAATCAGCCTCGACTAATTCCATGGGCGGCGTGATGGCCTACTTGATCATGCTCTGTAGTATATATCTTGTCCAGATGTTGTGATGCTAATGACCCATCTCCAACCTTCACTTCTACAGCTTGACGCTCTACTCTCTTTTCTTTCTATTCTATTCATTTCTCAGCGCTGAGCGCCAACCTTCCTTCCAAACCCATCAATATGTATTTCTCTGCTGCTACTTCCGTTGCGCTTGCCGCTCTCCTTACTACTGTGCACTCACACGCTGTCATTTTGGCAGCTGTTGGAGACTCTGGTGAAAGTCAGGGATTCTTGGGTATGTCTCTTAGGTTGCTCAAGATATTGAGTATGTTCTTACATTGCTACAGTCGACCCCGAGCTTGCCCGCAACTGCACCACCATCTCTCCTTGCCAGCAGGATGCCACCATCATTCGCGACGAGGAGATTACCCAAAACATTGTCAATGCTTGCGGACGAACTGAAATTGCTGGTAACATCGACATTGGCGAGCAGACTGAGAACGAACTCGCCGCCGGTCGCATGGCCAAGGTCTCTGCTGGCTCCACCGTGGCAGTCACCATCCACCAGGTCAATGCTGATGGAGCTGGACCGTTCGAGTGCGACATGGACGAGACTAGCAATGCCGTCACCACCTTCACTCCCCTGAAGGTATCCAACAACGTCCCTGGCTCTTTCGGTCTCTCCCAAGCCAAGGAAAAGGAGTTTACCATTAATGTCCAGATGCCTGACAAGTTCAACTGCCTTGGTGCATCCACCGGAAATATCTGCACCATTCGATGCCGCAACAACGCAATTGCCGGTCCCTTCGGTGGATGCTTCGCTGTTCAACAGACTGATGGCACTGGCCGTACTGACAAGAGCGCTTCTGGTAAGTTCAATATTTCATTTCATCATCCCCCCTGGCGCTAGCACACCCATGTATTTATACTCACTGCCACTAGCTGTCGACACTGCTCAGACACTTGAGGGTATCTCTGCACAAATTCTTCAAAACCAGAAAGATCTCCCTGCTGCCATTGCAGCCAACCAGGCTGCTGGCGCTGCGGGGGGCAATGAGGGTGCTAGTGCCATTTCCGGTGCGTTTGATTTTTTGATTATGGACGGGGATTAGTTACTAACATGCTCCATAGCTCTCCTCCCCGAAGCAACTCAGGATCCAAATGCTGGCAATGGCAACAGGGGTAACCAGAACGGTAACCAAGGTCAGGGTCAGCGAGGACAACAGGGTCAGGGACAGCGCGGACAGCAGGGCCAGGGCCAGGGCCAGGGCCAACAAGGACAACAGGGTCAAGGCCAAGGTCAAGGTCAGGGCCGTGGTCAAAACCAGGGCAACGGTAACGGTCAGAACCAAGGCAACCGCAACAACAGACTTCGCCGCTTCGCCTCCAAGTTCCTTAGCTAAGCGACTTCATTGTCAAACTTAAGCCAGAAAACAACAACAGCAGAGCTACATCACATAGGAGCAAGGGTTGGCGTTCAAACCGCTAGAAAAACACAAAAGGGCTGGCCCACCACTTATTCTTACCACAATGTATATACCTTTAGTCATATATGGAGATGGAAACACACATAGAGAAGGATTAAATGTATATGTTTGTCCTCATTCAATATCTACCTATGTTTCTGATTTTGACTACCTAACAGTAATGGGGATCTAGTCACGAGCCTCTTTCCATATACTCGAAAACGTCATTTTTCAAATCACAAAAAAAAAGATTAACACTGAGAGCAGAAAGAGCGATCAACATGGAGAGTGGGAACAAAAAATTGTTCGACATATCTTGAGGTAAACCCCAGGCACGTTTTTTCTCTTTGTCCCCTTCGTGGATCGAACACGATACCTCCAGATGATTGTGACTGAGAAGACTTCAGTCTGGCGCTCTCCCAATTGAGCTAAGGAGACTGGTACGCGATGGAGCGATGGAGGGTTAGAGGCTTCACATTACTGCGTTTTCCGTTGGATTCGGTGGCATCATATTCATTTCTCGTAGAAAAGACTCTCACTTTATTCAGGTGTGATAGTTCTTTTTATTTATTTATAAAACACTTTTGCGTACCGAAGACTAGTGGTACTAGTTTGGTGGAGGTTGCGGTTTGGGTAAGGTTCTGTGGGGTTAGTAGTGTGGAGGTTGTTGATATTCTGATTGATTAGGTTTAAAGAAAAGATATAGCAGGGTTTTTTTCCCTGCTATTAGGCACCTTGTAGGGATGTAATAGCTTCATGACATATGCCGCATGCTGAGCGTTGTGTGAAGTGCTACAGCTTGTAGCGATTTGACGCTGGCATGAGAGTTGGCGGCGACCTACGTTGAGGAGCGGGGAATTGGTGATGTAAATGATTTGGCGAAGATTATAAATTGAGAGCATACACTCTGCAAATTCAGCTGCTACTGGAAAGTAGCGTTTCTGTGAAGGTGCATTGGCGAAACAGGATGAGACTCAAAGGCTACACGTGAGCTTGATGACAACATTCCGCGTGTTCAGCGTAAATCTCCAAAAATCGATAAGATGTGCATTCATAGATGTTGACTTGTTTTGCGACCCCCGCTTTACCGCTGTAAGACCAAGAAAAGAACGCAAAATCACATTTCGGATTGCCTTGTTTTGGCAATACCATCCAAGTAAAAGGAAAACATGACGAAGGAATGTTGATTGGAAATGCTTACTGCTCCCAACCAATTACATCGCGGCTAATTCCGCTGACATACTCAGCCTACCTCGCAAAAGACGCAGTACGTGACCGCGGCCATAATGTCGTGATCAACACGCTATTCGTCGCCGATCCTTTATTCTCCATTGAAAGCGGGAAAACTCTTTACCGCAACGTAGCACTCTCGCGCGCACTCGTCCGACAGTGGTGTGATCAATACAATGTGAAGGGGGGCAAGTAAAGCGGTGGGTAAGTAGGTAAACCCACTGTGCATGCAACCAGGCATCTTACGAACGCGCCATTCGCACTGAGATAAACCAAGATGATGATGGATAACTTGTGATGGTCGTTCAGTCGGCTTACACATAGAAAAATTGTCAGCAAAAATGGATTTGTGAGCAGTTTTCCCTTTGGTTGGGTAGCACGCGGATGCTAAATAGCCTCGGAATCAAAGCGCGGAATCAAAGCGCGGAAACACAACTTGGCGGCAAGTAGATATCACGTTATATTCTCCAAAGAAACTCCGCTTCAACAACAGTACCTGTAATCGCCCGATTACTCGTTTCGTTTTAGCCGCGGCAGTGGCCTGTGTCAAGTACGCCTTCCCTTCCCCCCCCCTTGCCTGGCAGCCTAAAAAGAGAGCACAAACAGTCATATGTACATACTGCCCGCCAGGCACCCATGCCCTTATATCTCAAAACACATCCCCACTCGGAATTTGGGAAGATCTCATAACTGATCTTGTGCTCCCCCCCCCAAAAGACAAAACAAGAATTACCGCAAAAGGCAGAGCCACACACGCGTAAGACGCTACGAGACCCCACATATCCCGACCCGAAGCCACCTACGCAGCCCCACATCGCGAGGAGGAGAAAGACGAGTGATACAACTACATCAGTTATCGCCATCGCCTTTGTTCGTAAATTCCTAGATTTAAACATCATACTTCTATTCCTCAGAGTCCAATCTCTCAATCCCGCGTTATCTACAAAAAAACATCGGCAGAGGTTATACGAACGAAGGGAAAAATAGTCACAATGGCCCTCTCAACACACGCAATGTCGCATATCCGCCGCTACTCAACACGCATGCCACGCGACCCTCACTACCGCCTCAAAGCCTCGCTCGCAACCAGCTACGTTGTGACTGCTTGTGCACTGCCTTTTGTGCCACCGCTGCTTGAGACGAGGAGAGCAAAGGCAGATGGAAGTTGGATGACAAAGTACGTTGACGACCATTCCTTAGATATACTTCACATCAGTCGTCGTGAAAGCATACCGAATTGAAGAGAAATACTAATTGTCAAACAGAGAGAGTATGCATTGTTCTTCGCAGTTTCTGGGTTGTCCAAGGTGAAAGCGTGGGTTTTTGGGTAAGATGACGCAAATCTGAAGTAAATAATAAAAAGGCCTAAACTAACTATATTATCCAGTCACCTTCTTGCATATTACTTCATTCAGGCTTACAACATATCCGGCGTTTTATGGTTTCTTTCTTCGCGCTCTGATACAACGGTTAGAGTACCGTGAATTTATCCCAACATATGTCATTGGGCACAGTTTCAGTAAGGATGGTTCCCGAGTACTGTTTTTATGGTTTTAAATTCAATCAAATAAATGTTTAGTGGACCCTGCAGTACTGGGACTTTACATGCTGAATTCCTTGCTACCCCTTCTCAGTCAACATCGTTATGATGCGTCTGTTGGTTTTCTACCGCATCATGCATCTCCTCTTCTTCGTCTTCATCCTCGGTAGCCGTTTCGTACATGGTGACGTAAAACTCTCCATCGTGCTCGAAAAATTGCAGACTCTCGTCATCCATAAATCCGTCATCTTCGTCAAGCTCAAGGTCGAGCTCCATGTCGTCGTCTTCTTCTAGATCGTCGACTTCGAAATCGTCGTCCGTGTCAGCCAGAGCATCAGCCTCTCCATCGGTTTCGAACATGTCCAGAAATGGGAGCCGCCGACCAGGCCGCACAAACTTGTGTCTCAGACGATGTAGATCGCGCCGTGTATTACTTAATATTTCGCCGATGTCAAGGTCGCCTAATTGATCCGTTTCAGGGGGCGGTACACCGAGTTTCACTATGTCACCCGGATTTACTACATGCCGATGGAAGCCCACTTCATCGGCATCGTATACACAATGAACAACTGGAACACGTTCGTTGTGGAGATATGGAGGTATCAGGCTCGGGCTCTTGTGTAACTCTATCAGCATCCGGAGATTGATGCCAGCCTTGAAAAGCTTGTATGCCTTTGCATGCCTATTGCGAAGAGACTCAGGGTTGCAGATATAGCTTGGTTCAGATAGATCGAGCCTATCCAATGTCAGTGAATTCTATAAGACCGAGCGGCTTCTTTCCAAAAGTATCACTATTGTTCTACAACTTACCAGATATATGAAGATTGCATAAGCTCAAGGGTATCTAGGGACGGAAGCGCAGCGTAATGATCAAAATCGGGGGGATGATCCCAAAAGTCGACAGGAACATCCCAGTGTCGGCGGATTCGAAGTGTCTGAAGCTGAGGAGGAGCTAGGTCGCGGTTCATTACAATGGCTGTATGCAGGAATGAAGTTGTATCGCACTCCATGTAGTCAAGAGCATGAAAGTTGCGCATGCCATCTCCAGGAGGCCGAACACTGCGAAAAACATGCGGGCTTGTATCTAGATGCCACCCAGGGTCAAGGTGTGTAAGTCTTTCCAGTGAATGTGCAACGGCCGATAATGCCTTCAACGAAGCGCCTGGGTCTCTAGATAGAATAGGTTTGGCACCCCGCGACCGGTTGACATTGAAGACGTTTTCGCCGAGCGTCAATGACTTGAGTCTTGCTGGTGTGCGCAGAATACTCAGCAAGCTCTTAGGCTGCAGCTCGCACTCATCAAAATACAGAGATGTTAGGGGTGTTTTGCCAACGTGTGTGGCAAGTTGTGGAATTTCTGCATCCGGAAAAGCAACGCAAGAGACATGAAGGTGGCGAAGGGTGGGGTGTTGAAAGAGACAATGAAAACCATTGAACTCCCAGAAATCCGTGTCAGCACCGTGCGAATGGATCGTCAGCCGCTCTAGCAAAGCTAGTCCTACGGTTCGCTCGACATGTTTGCCGAGGCGTTGTTCTGCCAGAATGTTGTCTGCCTCTCTGGGGCCTTCTGCGCATGCAGTGTCCAGTGCACGCCGGAAGCGCTGCATGTCGCCTTCAACCCAAGCCTCGCCACCAGCACCTTCCCAATGAAAGTTGTCATATGGACTCTCAATGTGCCAATCTCGCAGATTGACCATATCAGCAACACATTCGTTGAACGTCGCCCGCAATTCGTCGCTGTCTTTCAAGTCCCCTGGCTGGTATTGATATAGGATTTTCAGTGTTTGTACGGCGCGGATGCGCTCGCGGCGCAGCGTGAAGGCTGAGATGATGGCATGGAGATTCTTGACTGAGAGCAGCTCCACTGTCTTGTAGAGTCGCTCCTCAGCCAGATGCTGCATGCTACGACAAGTCTGGGCGAGTGCGCATAGAGCCTTATTGCTGCCTTCGAGATGGTCGATTACGAGAAGGGCAAGTTCGTTGGGAAGCCGCGAATTCGCGCTACTAAGAGAAGCTGAAGCCATGACACGCGATTTATGGCTTGTATATGGGTGTATATCGATGGATAGTCGCAGTGTTGATGGCCTGCTGCCTGGGCGTGGAAGATAGTACTATTTCAAGTCAGGAAATGAGCTCCGAGGACGTGTACCAGCGGGCTGACGAAAGTACGGTACCTCTACTCACCAAGCTGCTCCTCTTTAGTGTTGATTATTTGGGTTCGAGTATACCCCTCATAACAAAGAGGCTGTTCAGGGCGCGAATTTGGCCAGCGCTATTGAAATTATGCAGGGACGAGCGATGAAGAGCCGACTGCGGGGTTGCATGGGCACTGGCCAATGACGTCGGCGCGTCATCAAAATCCTATGCACATGTCAAACCCATGCACTCTCCTGGAATTCACATGGCCTTTGGCATGGCCTCACCTTCACCTTCACCTTCATCGGGTTACGCCATGATGTTGGTACCGTCGTTTGTTCTCACCGGGGTCTGGCTCAGACTGGACAACCACCCCGATATCGAATGTTACACCAAGCACAATGGATCTTGATTTCCACAGCACCAGCGACAATAGAAAGCGTACAGCAGAAGATACGTCAACGACCACTGAAATATCTGCATTGCATTCTCAGGATCCTGCGCCCCGCGTCCTTCGTCGCTACCATCACCGGCATCGCAATGTTGCTTCCGAAATGTGGGGTCTGGATATCTCATCCTCTCAAACGGACTCTCCCCCTCGGAATGACACCCAAAAGCGGCCATTCAGCGTCTACAAGGCTATCCTTCGGCACAACAACCTCTTCTTTCAGTTTGCTCTCCGCCTGCCGTATTCTTCTATTATCGACCTTTACGCCATTGACAAGGAGTTTCACTACCGCCTCAACAAGTACAGCGTCTCGCTCATTCACGACTATGCCCGCCGCAATGCTCATCTGGCCGGTCACATCTTCAGCTGGGTACTGTACCCGCAGCTGTGCATTTCAGACCCGATGCTCAGACCAATGAACGAGCGACAGTGGCTAGCGCGTGATGTGCCGGGCTTCCGCTGGATCGGCATGATACTCTGGCGCCAGAACATTGTTCGATCCATACTTACAATCCTCGGCATGGAGGGCCACCGGGTACCTGCTGCATGCGAAGCTACACTCATGAAGTTTTGGTGCCTTATGGAGATGAAGAGTACAAAGCTGCGCCTCTCTTTCCTCAACGACAAAGAGATCTGGGCTGATGCTGACATCATCAACTTTCAGCTTCTTCTTGTGAAGCTTGATATGCGTTTTTCAGACCCCGTTCTAGGAAATGGCTGTTGTCAGCTGGCGTCTATGCTGCTCAGCCAGAAGAGTTTAAGCACGCTGTGGAAGGTGCTGAGTGGCAAGCTCAAGCTGAACTACGAAAAAACAACTAATATGGTGGCCAAGACATACCACGCAGATGATGTTGATATACAAATGCAGGTTTTGATTCATGATCTGATGGACGGGGAGGATGATCCACTAGGTCCTTTGGCTCATGAGGGCTGGCATAGGGACGGTGCCAAGATGGAGCACGCCGTCGATATGGTCATTGCCGAGGGCATCAGAAGAGACCTACATGTCCAAAAGTACTATGTGGATTTTATTCTTTATGGCTTCACAGATGAGAGAACCGGCAAGAATGTGCCTTTACCGAGACAGTTGAGGGGAGAGAAGAATGTGAAGGTCCCAAGTGGAGGATGGCCAGAGAAGAAGTTAAGGGATGACACTATCAAAGAGCTCGATGTACTCTTTGGGGTTGTCGAGCGCAAAAAAGGGAATACGATGGATATCAGCACTTGAATTCCAAGTACGCAAAGACCTGGGACTCTGTGCGACACGACAAAAGCTTGAGCAGTATCATTTTGAATAGGAAATGATGAAAATACTTTTCATATTCTTTTTTTACATATGGATAGACTTTATCATATCACATTACACCCCCTCTCCAACATCCCCTGAATCACCTTCTCCCCAACGCCAAATACTCCCCAACAACCCCCCTATAATCCCCCGGCATATAGGCCGTAAACCTTTCCCTCCACCAACTCCCCTTCCTCTCATTCCTCACCCCCACATCCCTCAACAACCGATCTACATACGGCAAGCAATCAAAAAACATGTCAGGGAACCGCGCCCCGAACCCGCGACTATAGCGCCACCTACTAAACTGCGTGTGCAGCACTGTTTCGTACATGATGCGCTTGGAAGCTATCGTGTTCTGGAGGGTCGGAATACGGTCGTCGAAGTAAGCAGTTATCCATAGCGCTTGTGTCTGTGATATTATCGTTGTGGCAGGGCTGCGGTAGGCGCCGGCGAAGGCGAGGGTGCGGGTTGGGATGAATGCGGGAGGGACTATGTAGCGGTAGAGGCGGTAGGGTTCTTGCTGAGTCTCCTTTTGAGTCTTTTCTGCAGATCCGTCACGTGGTGCAGGCTGATTCTGGAGTTTGGGAAAGGTAGCGAAGATTTGGGCGTCGGCGGCGCGGATGTGGTCTTGTGGTGCCTTTGCTGCATAGCCGGGGAGGCCGAGGTCCTTGGTTGTCTGGAAGTCGAGCTGAGGTGTGTCTTTCCAGCCTGTGCCGCAGATTAGAACGTCGGCTTGTATCGCGGTGCCGGTGGAGAGGTGGATAGCGTGGGGAGAAAGGTGCGAGATATCTGCGATGTGGACTCTGATCATGCCGTTGCGGACGAGTTCGAAGAAGTCGCTCTTGTAGTTCAGGAGACCGCGATTTGTGCCGATGAAGAAGACGTTGTCCCAGGGTTTGAGCTTTGCGGTTTCGGGATGGGAATCGTAGCCATTGATTTCTTCAGTTGCGTGCTGCATCTTTGTGAAGAGGGCGTCTGAGATCTTCTTTCCGAACCAATGCTGATGGAAGAAGTTGCGGATATAAGTAAAGCCATCATCCCACATACTTGGGCTAAGCCATGTAATCAGTCGTGTTTGTATAAGTAGCTCCGGAATAATCCTCAAAGGTGTCAGGCGGTTTGGCATCATCCAGCAAGGACCGTGACCTGATTCCCGGATGATCCAATCTACTTGGACGCCTGCGGAGGCGTAGGCATATGCAATGTCCCATGAGAATTTGGCACCGCTGAGTAGAGCAATCTTCTTGTACGGCCCCAGTCCACCCTCAGCTTTTGCGAATTCGCTTGAGTGATATATCGGTGCACCAAAGGTTTCCTTCCCATCAAGCTTGGGCATCAAAGGTTCCGACGTCAGGCCCGTTGCAACGACTAATCTCAAAGCCTCGATCTGGTAATCTGTCTCTGTCGAGTTCGTGTATCGTGAGACGGTTAACATCCAGCCCATCGGTCCTTGATCCACAGCTGACTTGACACTTGTTTCGAGACGAATGTGCTTTGCCAAATTGAAGGTTTCTACATAGCTATGCAGGTACTTGTTGACATGTTCTCCGGGTATATGGCCGTCTACAAGGTCGAAGCCCTCTGTATCCATAGGAAGGTCGCTAAACTACACCTGAGTCAGCTTCGCTCCCTTTGCTTATTGGAAGGGGCACATGTACCTCGAACGTGCGGAAGTGGTTGTTTGTATGAAGCCCCGGGTACAGTCTGTCTTTTGCCCATACCCCTCCTATGGACTGGGACTTGTCTAGAACCAAAATTGACGCTTCGGGGTGAACATCGCGATATGTTTTGGCGATGACTAGGCCGTGTATACCTGCACCAACAACGACGAGATCAAATTTTTCGATCTCAGCCATAGCGACGGATACGAGATGGTACTGTTTTGCTATCGATGTGAAATGCGGGCATTGCGCAATATATCTATTCAGTCTGACTGAATTTATGGCTTGATTGAGTTTCGCCAGAGCTGACTGAGAGCTAAAACGCCCCTTGTCTCAGGCCAGAGATGGCACCAGCCCATCGTTCAATAGTGTGCTGGCTGGAGAACCAGAGACGGGCGACTAGCAACCGAGCGCAATCTAAATGAATCCTGGAGCCCAAGGCTGACCTCAGAAGCGAGGAACTTATCACTGACTCGCTCTTGTAGGCCAACGTGGATAGGATCATGTGGCAGGTGCTTGAAGTCCTCGTCAGCATTGTCTCGACCTGACCAGCGCAATGCTCGCTGTGGCGTAGAGCTCAGATAGGTGGCTGCACTAGTACACAACACTAAGTGGGGAACATGAAAGTCGAGGCAGAGGTGGCTTGGGGCCATCTGGTCAAGCCATACTTTCGCATGCCAATCACGTACTCTAGATCAGGCGTGTTTTCGCCACCTGCTTAAGTGCGATGCCATTCGGTTATTATCTCTCATGTGTCCGAGCAGCTTGGTGGACTTTGCACATCGCATCAAGAGTGCGAAGTGCTAGGATACACGGAATTTGGAGGTGAAATTGAAGAACAGAAACATTGAAGGTTATAGGATACGCTGGGAAAGGTGTATAGTATTGATGCAGCTCTAGCACAACCGCATTACACCGATCATGATGCGGTTCTGATACTTGGCGACCGGCCGCTTCCTCTTTCTGCTCATCACAGTCGTTGCGAAGTACTGAGGAGTCTTTTTGGAGCATGTTGCTACTCGAGTACAACGGTGAAACGGATGTCATTGTGAAAGCTGACGGGACCAGTCACACCTCATACCACGCAAGCTTTGCTAAGCATCGCTAAGCGTGAAAACACTTAACCCTTTTCTTCGTTTGTAGTACCAACCATGAGCTTATCAGCCATTGAAACCACAGTCCATGATGCAGTACCGGCTCGGTAACTTGCCGCGGGAAGCAGCAGCAATCAAAGGATGGATAGATGGGGGATAAAGTGCGTTGTACCATCACCTCTTTCCATGTTGTACAAGGCGTGATAAACTGATGGAAATGCGCACATAGCGCGGAAAGAGTGGGGTATCTTTGCGTTTGAAGGATTATAGATCAAAAAGTCATTGCGACGAGGGAGAGTAGGCTAGCTGCAAGGTTAAACAGAGATTGACTTTCATCCATCCTTCTTTCGAACCAAACAGCAAAAAAGGCCAAGCGCAACCGCTCAGATGATGATCTATCTCTTCTTCTTTGTTCTACACGCCAGTTTCTCCAAGTCGTTTCCACTCGTACGAAGTACCGAATCTACATGGCAACTCTCAAGCATTTCCTCGACGCCATCTTGGGTATCCGACATTGCTACCGGCACGGGTGCGAAATTTCTTCGATTGGATGTCGATCACGTCTTGATAACCGCGACCAATACTGTGCACAAAAAAGACAAGTCGGAGATGATGTTCGATACGAGCATTGAATGTCGGACCAGGAAGACATGATATCTGACCAGGTGGATCCGTATATTACAGGAAAAGAAGGAGCTGTGAGCCGGTTTCATGATCGCTTTGTATATGAAATAGCGACGGCAAGAAACAACATCAAAAGGAGCTTCAGAGAGCTCACTTTTGTCTATCATCTTCCATGATCAAACCATCTATTTGCTTGAAAGGATCCGGATCAACAGCAGTGTGTTCCATGCCTACTAGCCCCACCAGAGCCTCATCATCGATGTAGTCTCTTGTTTTGGGGTTTGAGTTTGGCTGCTGACCATGTGCAGCCTTGAGCTTCAAGATGTCACTTTCACTGAACTTCTTGAAGGCCTTCGGATTCTTCTTTTCCTTCTTAGCGTGTGACTCGCTCTTGAATTGATAGCCCCTCACACGCGGCCCTTGGCCAGTCTTTTCGGGTAGGATGGGTTCGTAGTAGGCTTCGAACGCAGCTACGTCTGCATCAAAGGTCCCGGCCTCGATTGAGGCTCGAACTCCAGCAAAGAAGGCTGAGAGGATGGCGTGATTATGCATCTGAATCAACACCCAACCTAGCATTTCTTTGGCAGCAAGGAGGTGTTGAAGGAAGGCGCGATGATGCTTTGTACAGGCATAGCAAGTGCAGCCATCTGAAAGAGGGGTGACGGATTGCGCATGATAGCCACCCCACATATCGATTCCTAAAGAGCGGCGGGCGGTGTCGCTTGACTCGTTCTTGGGCGCTGGGAAGATGAAATCAAGCACGATGCCAGCATCCGTCGCGTCGTTTACAAAGGGGACGGTAAATATATCCATGCCCAGGCTGATGTGACGGAGAAGCTCGTGGGGGGTGGTTGGGGCATGGAACGACAATCGGGGAAGGTGGTGCAATTGGTCTGGGAGGTCATCGAGTAGATAGGCGTCGTATATGGCAACACCGCTGATTTTGTCCACCATGTCGTCAAGTAGATGCTCGAGATACCATGACTGGAGGTCGCGCTCAATGGGCAGTATAGGCGCAAAGATGGCGCAGCCCCTGCCTTGATTATCCACTGTGCCTTGCTTGACAACCAAGTCGCGCAGCCACGTCTCAGTCCTGTCGCTCATCCTGTCCTTGCGCTTGAGGCTCACTGATCCCTGGCCAAAGGGGATATCGGCCAGCCCGACAACAACATCCGGCTGTAGCTTACTCGTAGCGGCGGCATAAAATTCTGACGAGACAGTAGTGAAGCCGACTGAAGTCAAGAGGCCTACTTCTGTGTTTGAGTTTGCGTGGGGGCTCGGTATGGGCGGATTGCGACGCGCACCTAGGACGAGGAGCGTCTCTGGAGGGAGGGCGATGAAGTTGCGAAGTGGATCGGGAACGTCAAACTTCAGTACAGGCGGTGTTTTTTGAGGGTGCTTTTCCACGACTGCAAAGAGTCAGCCATGTGCTGGAGCTGCTGATGGCTGCGCTACCCACAGTCTTCGAGCGGAACATAGACGCCCTCTAGGCCGACCCTTTTCTGGAAATTATCTTGGGAGATGTGCGGAATGATACCCCGCGACGTGCTGCCTATGTAGCCAGGGGTCAGTATCTTGTTGCGTCCTGGCACCGACAGGCGACCAAGTCGTGGAGCCAGGGAGCCCGCCGCCTTGAGAAGCGTGAACTCGAGCATCTCGGCTGGCAATTGCTCTAGCTTCTGCGCTGGGCTTTCAACAGACATTGCGGCGCTGAACTACGAGTCTGTCGGGTTGAGGAGCCTGCCCCAAGTCCTACCACACGTTTGTAGGGGTTGCGGTGCACAGTGACTTTCACAGCGGGGCATATTCATCCTCGTCGGCCCACCCCGCTACAAGGGAGCATCGAAATGGTCGGTGCGCGCACGTGATCACGCGTAAGACCACGCGTTTCATCCTCTTAGCGTAATTACATAAGCATTCCAGCTGGTCTCTATTGAGACGATCAAACCAGTCCAGTAATGACATCTGCTACATATATACATATCTAGTACCCTAGCTTCTTCGCTCTCTCCTCTCCCAAGATATCGACCAAGCTCACCATCTTGAAGCTCGCCTCCTTCGCGGTCCCTCCCTCAGCAAGCTCATTAGCATCGTCGTGCGTAACGAACAAACCGCTTGGAAAGTCCTTGTTGAGTGCGTTGCCCACCGCAGCAATTCCGTCCGTATTGCTCACATGGTCGATCCCCTTTTCCTTGTTGTCCACGATAGTGAACTTGCCAACATGCGCGTGCGGTGGTGCTCGCTCATAGATGATGTATGACGAAATTCCCTGCGACGAGACCATGATATAGCCACCTAGTCCAGACTTAGCAGGCACAAGCGTGAGCCCCTCTACATCAGCTTGGAGACCGCTGTCATCACCTATCTTGGCGATTTGAACACCTGTCTTAGAGCCATTGGGCTCAGCCTCATATCGCCAGATCCCTAACCCCTCTTCGCCAATGAACATGTATCCAGCGCCGTCATCGCTAACGCAACCTTCGACCTGACCGCCGGAACCACCTTGGAATTCACGTACGAGGGTAGCTTTCAAGGTACCGTTGGAGCTGCTCGTAAGCTCGTATTGCAAATACTGGGCTGCTTTGTTGTTTACGAAAAGGTACTCCTTTCCTGAGACCTTGGACCGGTAGTTGCACGACCCGTACGGTTTGTAGTCTTCAGGGAGCGGCTGGATACCCCCTGATATCTCACTAAGATAGCCTGTGCTATTGACTTCTACCAGACTTCATCTTGTTAGCCAATGTCTCTTGTCTGCAGCTTCGCTACTTACCAGAGAGTGTTGTCGCCACGGCATGCAGCATATGCAAGATCCACTGTGCGATTACCAACTGTAAAGTTGTAAATGATGTCGACATTGTTCGGTTCGCTGGCAGTCAGGTGTTGCAAGAGCTTTCCCTGCAAATCAAAGACACCAAAGCCTTCGCCTTCCTCAGATTTGGTCGTGGTAATGACCTTGCTTTGATCCGGCTTGATGGCATGTATCCAGATAGCTGGGTCATCGCCATCGCCACCGTTAGCTTCAGTCTCGTATTTGGGTTTGACGGCTAGAAACGAGCAATCCGGTCCCGTCCATGGGTCTTTGCAGCTGCATACGTTAGGACCAACACAATTTCCCTGTCCGAAACAGTCATTCTTGCAGACCGTCTCAGAACAATCACGACCAGCGAAACCAGCGAAGCAAGAACATTCTGGGTCATTACCAAATCCATGGTAGGAACAATCCTCCGAAATGGCGCTCTCGCAATCTCTGCAAGGCTTGCTTGCGGGACTGTACTTGGTGTTGGGTTGGATACCCAGGGAGGCTAGAGCACCTGAGAGAGAGCCCACAGCAATGCCAGTGTCTTCCTCACCTTCGAAGGCAAATGCGATAACACCGAATGGATAGCCAGCAACAGGCGATTGCAGAATGGAGAGCCCTCCTTCAATGGATAGCTCTGAGATTCCACTCAATGCAATGCTTCCTCTTAGTTTCACCGTCGCATCATACACATCAAGCGTCGTATCATGAGCGACGAAAAGGTAGTCCTCGGAGATGCCATGGTACGTAGCTAGGCCAGCAACCTTCACGTCGCTGGCCACAGTCTGAATTGCCGGAGCTTCGGTGGTCTCCGAAGCCTGGAACGAGTACAATGGCCGGTCCTCGGCTGAGAAGAAGACTTGGCCATTGGAAAAAACAGAGCAACTCTCGCCCTCGATATCGATAGGAAAGGTTTGAATCTGGAATAAGTCAGCTTCTGTGTTTTCTTTAGAAGATGTCGCAGATAATACTACCTCCAAGATCTCTGCTTCGTCTTTGCTGTCTCGAATCAAAAACTGCACTACCATTTTCTTTCCGAACAGGAAGATGTAGCTTTCCCCACTCTTTGCGCTACGCCAAGTGCAGGCAGCGCTCCAATCACCAAGCTGTTTCTTATTGTTGCTTTCAAGCCTCTCTCCTGTTTGACCCTCAAAGATCCTGATCAAGGAATCTGGTGCGGGTATATTGACAATGAGATTGCGGCCATCAATGTTGTGAACTGGTACCGCTATTTTGGATCGACCACTCTTTTCATGGAAACTTTCTACAAGAGAAGTTCCGTTCGAGAAGGCAAATGATCGGAAACCCCCATCTGCTGCGCTGCCATCGTTCACAACCAGACGCGGTGATGCGCTGTAGACGAAGTTGGTGTTGTCTCCTTCGAAACCGGTAGCTGCAGGAACAAGTGTGATGTTTGCGTCTTGAGCAGAAACGGATGAGATAAGACCTGTTGCCAAAATGGCATAACCCGAGGACACCCTCATCGTGAGATTGGAGATGGGCGGATTAATCGAGGGGAAGCAAACATCATAGCATGAGCAGTAAAGCCCATCTTAAGTATGCGCAAATCCCTTGCCACCCTTGCGCACGTTTAACGAATGCAAACAATAGCCTGAGGAATTCAAGGCGTTGTTGCCAAACAAGGATCCATCTCCTTGCTAATATAACCTAAAACAGTAGTTGGGAGTGTAGTGCATGAAAGACCAATTGATCCAGTTTGGTGGGACGGCCAATAGCAACGCGGAACATGACAACGTGAGAAACTGGATAGAAATGTTTTATCAGCACTACATGCCAGCCATACTCGAAGCAGGCGATCACATGTGGAGAGACGGACGGTGCCACCCTTATTTTCACCGTACGCAAAACCCCAAGTTCAAAGGCAGAGTTCTCGTTAGTTGTGTGCAGCTTGCGTAGCCTTACTTGAGCCCCTAACTCGACACGTGACATTATTCGCTTCCTGTGCAGGGTACACGACGTAGATGATTGTGGCGACATTCTCGTATTTCTTTGAAAACTGGTGACTTGTCCTGCTCAAAAACATAATTTTCTTTTCTGTATCTTCTTGGTCCATCTTTGTTGCATTACCTGCATGACCCTTCGACTATCGGCAGCAGTAAGTCCCTCTCAGGTAAGGCGTGCACCCTAGCTAAACTGTAAACCAACGTATTTTTGCCTGCTTATCTCTAGCATGCACAGCTTGGCGCTGCCAAAATGAATATTAGTGCATTTGAGGTAGGCTTATTATCACGAGAGAGGTTTAATTGGGGACATACTTTAAAGGTTTCCCTAATAAGCGAATACTACGACACAGCAAATAAATGCTTGAGCGACGGTGAAATATGAAATACAGTGTCCGAACACCATCCGATTAAGTCCGCGGCAGTATTGAGATACTTTATAAAAGTTTTTGCCTGTTGCTCTAAAAATTAGGAAATGAGAATACGATGCAGAGAAGAGACAGATTGCCCAAATGTACCTACACAAGAGACGCATATCCGGAAAATGACTAATCAGACCAAACAAATACACACAACCATTTTGAATACATATATCGTTCCAGTCCCTGTCCATTCATCGTGTACCTGAATATCAACTAAAACCTAGCCATACTTTTCCCGTGGAATTGGAATTGTAAAGCTAGCCAATTCGCTTTCGGAAACAAGAGCAGGAAAACTCAAGCCCCACAACATGACCAGAGCATCCATAGTAGCACCAGTCAAAGTCTAGACTTCAACCTTTATTTTGTCCTGAGCTACTCGGCGCAAGGTGATTATTGCGTTGCAAAGGTCAATTTGACTAGCTCAAAAAAGATTCATAGGATTTTAAGAATGTGCACAGTCATTCTATTTCCAAGGCCAGTTCATGACAGAAGTGAGGGATCTTGATATATATGGCGGGGCTTTTCTTCGAAGGGTCACACTACCTTCTGCTTATCTTCCATGTACAGAGCCTGATACCCTCGTAAACCCACCCATCATCGAGTGGTCTCCGTTAGTGTTAGATCATGTTTCTCTACATCGTAGTGTCACAGTTGATTGTGAATCTTTGGCTAGAAGGTCTATGCTGCACGTGGCTTTGTGCTTTACTTGATTGAACAGCAGAAATATGGCGTGGAAAGACATTAGATGAAGAGGTGGGCCCTCTGTTGAGGTTCATTGGCCGTACCTTGGTCACAGGAGTAGGTGCGCTGTTCGCGACGTCTGATCGGCATTCATATCAGGTCCCATAAACACATCAGAATGTTACTCCAGATCAGTCTCAGAGGTCGTCTTCGAGTGCCAGTTTCTGCAGTTGCCTTCTGTCTTGAAAATGACTTTCAAAATACCCTCAAGATAGCCTTTTGAATGCGCCCCATATCATTAAATGAGCAAATCCGCCATGTGCCCCCCATTGTGCTACCCCGTCTCACGCCATGCCTCTACTGCATTATTTATCTTTAATTGTCGACCCCACAAAATACTCTGTCAAACACACATGCCACTTCTGCTGCGTTCTTGGAACAACGGTTCCAAGCCTCCACGTGCAACATCCAAATTAATATTAACAACTCCAACGTAATACCAAAGAAGCTTAGTTTAAGCTTTCACCAACCTGCATCCGCCCCACATGCCATAGTGCGCCTGTTATGCGCTAACCCCGCACTGCACCCCAGCTTTACGGCTCTTGACTTCATCTACCGGAGTATTGACTACTTGGCGAAAACGTTCCAATCACGAAGGTTACGCACCTTCACGACTCAAGAAGTAACGAATGGGTTCTATGTGAAAGTTGGTCATACGATGCTGTAGCTCTTTGGGTGCCGTCATAGTGAGACCTTTAAGATATATTCGGATTGTACGGCCCGTTGGATATTCAGCCTAGTGACTGAAGGCTCCACCCCAAGAGTGCCTTTGATGAATTGTACCAAGAAACTTTCATAATAGCTCGTTCAAAGTTGTGCTGGCGTAGAAACAAATCATGGTCTGGGAGCATATATAAGACATGAACGTTCCACTCTACAAATCCAGTCACTACCGCTTCCAAGCGCTCAGTCTCGACGAACAATCTTTCAGCTATGTCTTTTGTTTCTGTCACCGCGGCATTCCTGGCCCTCTCCGCTCATAGCGTGTCCGGATGGGTCATTGGAACCCAACAAACAGAGACGCATCCCAAGATCACGTGGCAGCGTTGCACTGGCACAGGCGGAACGTCCTGCAGTAACGTGAATGGAGAAATCGTCATTGATGCCAACTGGCGTTGGCTCCATTCTACCGGGGGCTACACGAACTGCTACACTGGCAACGAGTGGAACAAGACCGCTTGTCCTGACAATGCAGCATGCACCAAGAACTGCGCGATTGAAGGCTCCGATTACCGTGGCACCTATGGTATCTCGACGTCTGGAAACTCCCTTAGTCTCAAGTTCATTACAAAGGGCCAGTACTCGACAAACATTGGGTCCCGTACTTATCTGATGAAGGATACAAACAACTATGAGGTAAGTCTCCCTTCACTATATCGTGAATCTAAAAGACTCTCTAACCTAGACATTTCTGCTCCTTAGATGTTCCAACTTATCGGCAACGAATTCACTTTCGATGTCGATCTCTCACAATTGCCATGCGGCTTAAATGGTGCTCTGTACTTTGTCTCTATGCCTCAGAAGGGACAGGGAACACCAGGTGCCAAATACGGAACAGGTACCTAGTATGAAGTTACAAGACGTGCACAGGTCACTTACAACCCACAGGATACTGCGATGCGCAGTGCGCACGAGACTTGAAGTACATTGACGGTCAAGCCAATGCCGAAGGCTGGACGGCTTCGTCATCCGACCCCAACGCAGGCATCGGCAAAAAGGGCGCGTGCTGGTAAGTCCATTCTCTCTTCCTAGCGGTCATAACTAACAGAACTTCAGTGCCGAGATGGACATTTGGGAGGCAAACTCCATGGCCACCGCCCTGACCCCACATTCCTGCCAGCCCGAGGGCTATTCCGTCTGCGTAGACGACACATGCGGTGGTACCTACTCGCTTGATCGCTACGCCGGTACCTGCGACGCCAACGGCTGCGACTTCAACCCCTACCGCGTTGGAGTGACGGACTTTTACGGCAGGGGCAAGACCGTCGACACCACCAAGAAGATGACAGTCGTAACGCAGTTCCTGGGCTCTGGTAATAAACTCACGGAACTCAAGCGCTTCTACGTACAAAACGGTAAAGTCTTTGCTAACCCCGAGCCTACTGTTCCCGGCATGGTGAGTCGTTACATCCGAAAGAGAAGATGTATCAGGCTGATAGATGAATAGAAAGGCAACTCAATCACCCAGCAGTGGTGTGACACACAGAAGGAAGTGTTCCAAGAAGAAATCTATCCCTTCAACAAATTTGGCGGCATGGACTCGATGGGTAAGGGTATGGCGTTGGGCATGGTCCTCGTCATGTCGCTTTGGGATGACCACTACGCCAATATGCTTTGGCTCGATGGCAAATACCCCGTCGATGCGGATCCAGCGAAGCCAGGTGTGGCGCGCGGCGCATGCGAAGCCGGCAGCGGTGTGCCTGCTGATGTGGAAGCCAACAGTCCTAATGCTCAGGTTGTATTTTCTAACATCAAGTTTGGGCCGATTGGAAGTACATTTGCGCAGCCTAAGTAAGGGTCGAAAAAGAAAGGGGATTTAGGAGGTGGCGGAAAAGCAGCCACGTAGGTGCTTTCTACGGTGGCGCTGGAAGTTGCTGGTGTACGTATGCAAGTCTGGTCATGCCACCACCATTCTCTCGTTTGTGGCTCAGCTGGATTTCCCACGTTGTTGGGGTCACGTTCGCTTACATTCTCTCTTTCTGATTTGTGATTCGTTAAGGAGGATGAATTGCTGGCAGTATTAAAATCATCATTCTAGGCCACATGGCAAGTGACGCATCATGTTTCATGCGCTGTTCGAAAGTCGTTTGCTGCCTTATTCCTCTAACACATTTCCTTATACCCTCCCGGCTGCGTTATATCTGCGCTTGAACCGACATGAACAACACATATCTCCAACTCAACACAGTCGCCCTGACCCAACCCACTCACGCCTCCATCTATTATAAGCGATATCTCGCCCATAAACTTTGGAATCCAGCGCCCCAGATCCTACAACTCCACATACACACACACGTACCGACATCGCCCCCGAACATCGATTTACCTAACCAATACCACTCACTACATACTTCCGCAATGCTTGAAAACCACACACCCGACGCAGATCGCTGCTGGCTGCCTTGTCCAGGCGACGACCTGGAAGAAGATCAGTGTGACTGCTGTTCTTGCAGTGGGCACCGATGAGATACGGGAATGGAGATGTGTGAAGTTTTGTTCCAGAGTATCTTGAACTCTAGGATATATTGTTTAAAAATAGAGCAATCAATGTGGATAGATTATGCATGTTCCCACAATGTTTCACTATTGGCCTGCATATCTGAGTCTGCTCGTGATAGCCACAACTGCCCATTAATCATG